GGGCCTCTGCCTGGGGCCGCTGTGGCCTTCATGTCCACCCTGCTGCCCACCAGCCAGCCGCCTCCTGTTGCCCAGCTCTGTCCTGTCGGCCTGACTGTGCGGCGTCCATCTCCCTGGTGGACGCCGAGGGAGCTCTGGCGGGGCTGGCCCTCTCCCCTCTCCCCTACCTGTGGTCCCTGGCCTAATCCGTTCCCGGCCTCTGCCTCGCTGTTCTTGGAGACTAGAGGGAGTTCCCAGCAGCTATCCCCCAAAGCACAGGTGGTGGCGGGAAGGGGCTTCTCTTTCTTTGGGAACCTCCGATGGATGGCACTTCAGCCCCAGCCCACCTCTCCGGCTGCCCTGGCTCTGCCCGTGGAGCTGGCTGGGGATCCAGCCCCCGAAGCTGGGCACAGGTGGCCCCCGTTGTCCTCTCTGGTGCTGGGCAGGGGCTGCACTGCCTCAGTCAGCTCTGGGGTCCCTGTGGCTGGGACGGCTGGGACGGCTGGGACTGGGGTGCTCAGGCTGATTCAGCTCCCCAGCTCAGCACGGGGGTGATGACTCAGCTCTGGAAGCTGCTGGAGTAACTGTGGGCCTCTTGTCAAGTACTTGGCTCATGTCCTCTACATCCCCTACCCCCCAAAATATATATCTATTTGAAAGGCAGAGTTACACAGAGAGATGTTTCATCCACTGATTTGCTCCCCCAGTGGCCACAACGGTTGGGGATGTGCCAGGCCGAAGCCTAGAGCCAGGAACCTCCTCCCAGGCCACTTGGGTGGGTGCAGAGACCCAAGCACTTGGGCCGTCCTCCGCTGCTTTCCCGGGCACATTAGCAGGGAGCTGGATCGGAAGTGGAGTGGCCGGGACTTGAACACCTGGCGCCCGTGTGGGGTGCCGACACTGCAGACATAAAGCTTGACGTGCTTGGCCACACTGCTGGGCCGGCCCGCTTGGGGTTTCTTCCTGTTCACTGGGTCCTCAGGGTCCGCCCTTCATGCAGGGCGTTGTTAAGCAGCATTTGCTGAGGGCCCGGCCACGGCCTCATGGAGTCCCCAGTCTTGCAAGATCCCAGGGAACTGGCCGCTGGGAGGTGTTGGACTGTCCTGTGCCAGGGTCCAGGGTGGGGAGCCCCTCGGGGCGGGCAAGGGGAGGCAGCACAGGCTCCCTGCCAGATGTCACCTGTCCCTCTGATGGCCATGGCCCACCGTCAGCTCCTGGCTTTAGGAGTTACTGTGAGTGGGTGGCAAGGTCTTTCAGAACACAGATGCCCCAGATGGTGCCCTGCTGGGGTGTGGGGTACCGGTGGTTACAGCAATGGCCTACAAAGGGAGCCTGGCATCCGTGAATTAGACACGTGCTGTGTGTGTGCTCTGGTCAGTTTCATGACGCACGCTGCTGGGACAGACAGGCTGGGGAGAGTTACCTTGGAGCAGCTAGAGTGTGAGTGTATGATTCTGGAGTTGTGCTGGTGAGTGGGGTACCCGGGATGCAGAGCGAGGGAGGAGTTGTGCTGGTGAGCGGGGTACCTGGGACGCAGGGGGAGGCGGGTGTCCTTTTTGGAGAAGCTGGCCCAGCATGCGGAGCAGACACTGTGTGGACATGAGTCGGGGGGGGGGGGGCCCCTGGGAGCCGTCCAGCTGGTGGCACTCAGGAAAATCCAGCCGAACGGGCTTCTGGTAGCTGCTCTAACAGAACACTGCAGACTGGGGGACTGGAGGCAGCCCAGGTCCTCCTCATCCGGGGCCTAGGATCCAGAGCCAGGGTGGCTTTCTCCCGTCCTGGCTTCTCCAGGCCGCTCACAGCCTGGCCCCTCCGTCTTCAGGCTTCTCGCTGCCTCGTCCCCGCAGGAACCCTGGGATTCTATCAGGCCCCATGCCGTGTCCTTACGGTTAATCCCAGCTGCACCTTGCTTCTCGTCAGGTGAACGTCAGGTGAACCATGCACTTGCAGGGAGCAGGGTTGGAGGATGCTGGAGCTGTATTCAGCCTCCCGCGTCCCTGGATCGCAGGAACCAGCAGCCTCAGGGATCCACTGGCTCCTGGGACACAGCTGCCACCCCTTGGCCCAGGTGCCTTGGCTGGGCAGCCCCGGGCCTTGGGGAGGAGACGGCCTAGGCTGCAGTCTCCCAGGACCTATTTCTGATGGCTGAGCGTGGGTCACGTGCTTCTCCCTGCAGGGCCTGTCCAGGACTGGGTGGGCGTGGCAGCTCTCAGGGGAGTTGGAGAGGGTCCTTCCTCCAAAACGAGGATAATGAGCCGACCGGAGTAATCCACTGGGAGAGGAAAAAGAAGAAGCCAGCCCTGTATGCCTGCCCCATTTGCTGGACCCAGGGCTGTGCCTGGTGGGCAGGGGCACTGTGAGCGAAGGCTGACTGGGCCTGGCTCCTGGGGTGTGTCTCAGGCCAGCCGGTGGCATCCTCTCATGCTGCCCGTGAGCCGGGGGATGTGGCTGCCGGAATAGCTCCTCCTGAGTGACCAAAGAGAGAGTTTCCATCCGCTGGTTCCCTCCTCACGTGCCCGCAGCAGCTGGAGCTGGGCCAGGTGGAGCCAGCAATGAGGGATTCCCTTGGGGCTCCCCGTGGGTGACAGAGTGGCTGGGACTTCACCTGTCAGCGTCGCTGAACACCCTGGGGAAGTTCTGTGAGTTGTAGCTCCCTGTGTTTATGGCATTGCACAAGGCAAGCAAGGAATGTTGGAACCAACCGTTTAAAGGGAGGCTTGGTGAGCCTGGTACGCGTCCGTGTAGGAAAAACTGAAATGCAAGCCGGCTGTGCTTTATGAAGACAGACTTGGTGAGAAGAGGGGCCATCTGCGTGTCTGCTGACGCCTCTCCAGTCTGGCCCAGTGGAGCATGGCTGACCACGTCTGTTTGCTCACGTGGCCTGCTGGGTACAGCTGCTCGTGTCTGCTCATGTGGCTGGTGGAGCACGGCTGCCCGTGTCCATCTGCTCATGTGGCCTGCTGGAGCACGGCTGCCTGCGTCTGCTCGTGTGGCTGGTGGAGCACGGCTGCCCGAGTCCATCTGCTCACCCAGTCCAGTGGAGCACAGCTGCCTGTGTCTGCTCGTGTGGCTGGTGGAGCACGGCTGCCCGTGTCTGCTCACGTGGCCCAGTGGAGCATGGCTGCCTGCGTCTTCTGCTCACATGGCCTGCTGGAGCATGGCTGCCCGTGTCTGCTCGTGTGGCTGGTGGAACATGGCTGCCCGTGTCTGCTCGAATGGCCTGCTGGAGCACGGCTGCCCGTGTCTGCTCGTGTGGCTGGTGGAACATGGCTGCCCGTGTCTGCTCGAGTGGCCTGCTGGAGCACGGCTGCCCGTGTCTGCTCGTGTGGCTGGTGGAGCATGGCTGCCTGTGTCTGTCTGCTCGCGTGGCCTGTTGGAGCACAGATGCCCGCGTCTGTCTGCTGGCATGTTCGCCTATGGGTTTGATTTCAGGACAGCTGGGGGCCTCTTGGGCCACCATGGGCGTTACTTGGAGCTGTGTCTAAGTGCCACACAGCAACTTCTCTCCTTTTGAGAACCTCCACTTATTTGTTTGAAAGAAGAGAGAGAGAGAGACAGATCTTCCATCTGCTGGTTCATACCCCAAAAGGCTGCGAGTGCCAGGCCAGGGGCAGGCTGAAGCCACAAGCGGGAACTGCCTCTGCTCTCCCATGCGGGTACAGGGGCCCAAGGTTGGGCCATCTTTTGCTGCCTTCCCAGGCACTTCAGTAGGAAGCTGGTTTGGAGGTGGAGCAGCTGGAAGTTGCACTGGCACCAGGTGATGGGAAACCCGGGGTAGTCTCCTACTGTATGGGTAAACTCGAGCCCTGGGCTGTTTGAGGTCTTGGGTCTGTCTGGCCCCCAGGTGCATCTTGCACCCTTGCTGGATTCCTTGCCCCTAGGCCGTGTCATTTGCGATGTACCTGCTTGCTGAGCTCTGCAGAATTTGCGGTATTGACACACACACACGGCTGAAGGATTTCGGCGTTTGCTGTGTCACCGCCTGTCTCATCACAAAAACCTTGAAGTTTGAAACTGTCAGCTCGCCGGTGGAGGAGACGAATGTTCTCAACCCTGCTTGCTGCTGCCAGCGCCGTTTTTATAGTTGTTTTCCTTAAAGTGACAAGTGCACTTTGTCCTGTTCAGAGAAAGCTTCTGCTGGGTACTGCAGCCTGGCAGGCTCATCCTTCAGGCACCAAGGGCTTCCCTTGCTGATCGCTGCCCGGTGTGTGTGGGTGTGGTCTCGCTTCGGCACCTGGACTGTGTGGTCGAGGGTCGAGATGGAATGACGTGGTTTTCAGTGCGTCACCAAGGACAGAAGTGACCTTGCCGTGCTGGCTCTGGGCTCCGGGTGGTGGCATACACGGTGACCGTCTGCCTTGGGCTGTGCCGTGGCTACAGTAGCCCAGCGGTCAACATGCCGAGACCAACCCATTGGCTGGGCAGGGGGACCTGGTTCTGACCTGCTGGGGCCTCTAGCTGCTGGGTGGTGGATGCCCCAGTACCTGGGGATGCCCCAGTACCTGGGGACGCCAGGAGCTGGCCCCTCCTGTGACATGTAAGGGACTACTCTCCTGGAGAACCAAACCCCTTTGCTCCTTACTTGCGTTTAGTTAGCAGAATCCAACCTCAACGCCAAGCTCTCTGTAACCCAGGGAGGATTCAGATCCACATCTGGCTGCCAGGGATCCGATACCCCCAGCTAATCCTGGGAATGGGCCAGGCCCACAGGAAGCCGCCTGCACTCGCAGCCTCTCCCAAACTGGCTGTTTTGTTGTTGTTGTTGTTGTTGTTGTTGTTGTTGTTTGTTTAAATGTCTTAAGGGGGCTTCTCCCAGAGGGGCCCTGGCAGCTTCAGGCAGAGGAGCCCTGCAAGCTCAGAGCTGCAGGCTTCATGGTCTCAGACTGAGTCACCTCCACCAAGCCCCACTCTAGGGCTGGGCATCAGCAGGACCCCACCTGTGTGACAGCTCTGCCTGCAGTTGGCAAGGGTAGGGCAGCGTGGTGCCCACCAGCAATGTTGTTGGCCTCCCTGGGAATTCCTTTGGGATTTGTCAGGCTCTGGGTGCGTGCTGTAGCCCTCACCACTTTTCCTCTTTGGCGTGTCAAGGTGCAGGCCATCCTGGAGATCCCGGGCATCCTCAGACACCGCTGGCATGAGGGACTGGCACAGGATCTTTGCCCACAATGCTCTTGTGCCTCCGCACCCGCAGAGAGTGCGCCAGCCTGCCAAGGAGTCGACGGCATTTCAGTGCGTCCTGAAGCAGCTGGACGGGCCGCTCATCAGACAGGTAATGTCCGCTCGTGGTGCCCCCTCCCAGCAAGCACGTGGGGTTCTGCTGCTTTACTCGGGTCTCAATCACAGCACCCATCACTTGGCCGAGCGGCCCATTGGCACAGAGCAGGCCACCCGCAGTGGCTCGGTCAGCACTTCCTGTGCTGGGTAAGGCTTTCTGCTGTGCACAGTGAAGCAGTCAAGAGGCCAGGTGAGGTCGTTGGATCTCTGAGGCGGCCTTGTGTGTGGCTCAGCGAGGCCTGCCTTCAGCCTGGCCAAGCCCTGGGCATGCTGGCAGCCATGTCCGTGGCGTGTGATAGCCCTTGCTTGGATGATGTTCCATGGCTGGTTGTCCTCCTGAGGCTTGCCCCAAAGATTGTCTTACAGAATTTGCAATGTTTAATCATATGTCTTAAGCTTAACACGGGATCTGACATTGTGGTGCAGTGCGCTAAGCGATGCCTGCAGTGCTGACATCTCATTTGAGTGCTGGTTCAAGACCCAGCTGCTCCACTTCCACTCCAGCTTCCCGCTAATGTACCTGAGATGGCAGTGGAGATGTCCCTGCTGTCTGTGGAGATTCAGATGGGGCTCCTGGCTCCCGGCTTCAGCCCGGCCCAGCTCTGTCTGCCGTGGCCATTTGGGGAGTGAGCCAGTGGAAGGAAGATTTTTTTTTCTCTTTGTCACTCAGTTTTCAAATACATACAATAAATGTTTAGCAAAGGACAGAGAAGGGTCCCAGGGAACATTAGCGGAAGAAGTCCAGGGAAAGTAGGCCGCCAAGACCGTCTCCTGTAGGCCCTCGGGGCATGCTATCCCTCCAAGGAGTGTGATGGCATAGAGGAGGTGTTGCCTGGCACGTGCCGGCGTTGTGGGAAGCAGGTGTTTGGCACTGACGCTTGGCACCATGGAGCCCCTCTTAGGGGGCAGGAGTTCGCCTGGAATGGGGGTTCCCAGGCTCCTGCTGAGGGCTGTCCTTGTGAGTTGGCGTTTCAGAGTGCAGCGTTCGGACCTGCTGTCCTGACTGCGGGCTTCAGGGCCTCCAGGCCCGCCAGGCAGCACCAGGTGGATTCGTAGACGGGGCGTGTGGCTTTGTAGACCGCAGCGACGTCTTGCCAAGTTCACACGGAACGTTGGCCAGGACGTGCATGCTGGGCCACAAGCATGTCTCAGGAAACGTCAGAGCGTGGGAATGCTGCAGAATGCTGCTGTGTCCCGGCGGCTGTGCGAGGAACAGACCTTGAGCCTCCCTGAACGGTGCGAGCTGACCGTGGGGCAGAGAGGGACTCGAAGGGAAACCAGAAAATAGTCGCAATAAAGACCCAAGGCCTTGCCGGAATGTGTGGAGCAAGACAGCTGGCTGTCCCGGCGTGCGGGGCGGGGGGCCCCAAGCTGTCTGTGTCCTGTGTATGTTAGAGAAGACAGAGGCTGTAGCTTCACTGCTGTTTGTGCAGAAACACAGATACAAGGAAGTGGCAGAGAGGTGGCGCTGAGGAGCAGACGTCGCTGGTGGGAAGGGGGAACAGGTGACGGGAGAGCCTGCCAGCTGCATTGTGGGTGTTCGAAACTTAGTAAAATGGCTAGACTTCTAGTGGTACTGATGAAGGAACAAAAAGGAGCGGGAAGAATGCGCAGAGTGCCAGCATTAGGAATGCAAGGAAAAGCGGCATCATTGAAGGGGGAAATGAATGCTCTGCAGAATTTTTTTTTTAAAAGATTTATTTTATTTTTATTGGAAAGGCGGATATACAGAGAGGAGAGACAGAGAGGAAGATCTTCTGTCTGATGATTCACTCCCCAAGTGAGCGCAACGGCCAGTGCTACGCCAATCTGAAGCCAGGAGCCCCCTCTGGGACGCCCACGTGGGTGCAGGGTCCCAAAGTTTTGGGCCGTCCTCAACTGCTTTCCTGGGCCACAAGCAGGGAGCTGGAATGGAAGCGGGGCTACCGGGATTAGAACTGGCGCCCATATGGGATCCTGGGCATGCAAGGCGAGGTCCTTAACCACTGCGCCATCGCACCGGGCCCTCTGCAGAATTTTTAAATTACCGTTTGAGGGGCAGGGGGAACATCTGTCCACTGGTTTATTCCATAGATGCCCACAGGACCGCAGCAGGGCCAGCTGAAGCCGAGGGCTGGTTAAAGCGCTTCCCAGGAGGAGGTCAGCGGGCGGCTGGAGTGAGGGGCTGGCACACTCGACCTGGTGCCTCAGGGATGCCCTCACTGCCAGGCCTAATGCCCAGACAGCGTCCTCCAGGAGGCCGCGGGAGAACTCGCCCGGCTTACTCTAGTGGGAGCAGCAGCTCTGATGTTCAGATGAGTCTGGGACATGCAGGATGCGGTTAAATCAGCACTGGTGTCCCCAGGTGTGGGCGCCCGCATGCCGTGCTGGACTCCACGGGTCCACGAGCCAGGGCCTTGCCTGCTGGTACGGGAGCTGGGCCACGGTCAAGGGACAGTCATTGCAAAAATGCAAAGTTGGTTCTGCAACACAAAAGGCATTTTAAAATGATGAAGATGGAGATGGATGCAGAGTTACAGAGAGAGAGAGAGAGCGAACTCTTCCATCCGCTGGTTGGTGCTGAGCCAGGGCAGAGCCAGGAGCCAGGAACTTCTGCTCTTCTGCTTGGGTGCAGGGGCCCAGGCCTTGGACCATCTTCTGAGATGCATTAGCAGAGAGATGGATTTAGAGTGGAGCAGCCTGGACGCCAGCCTGTGTCTTCTGGGTGGGTCTCACCCCTGTGTCGGTTCTGGGGGCCCCCACTGGCCAGAGGAGACAGGTACTTTGACCGGGAACCCGCTGAGAGCCATGGAGAGTTCCAGAAGGAAGCTGGCTGCTGATCCCTGACCCCTGGGCTGGGAGCTGCCTCGTCAGGCAGCGGCCTGGGCCGTGACGGGGCTGTTCCCTGCTGTGTCCTAGGGGCTGCTGGAGGTGCTGTCGGAGGTCGAGTGCCACCTGCGAGTGTCTCTCTTTGACATCACCTACCGACACTTCTTCGGGAGGACGTGGAAGACAACGGTGCAGCCGGCCAAGCAGCTCTCGCGGCAGCCTCCCAGGGTCCTGTTCAACGAGGTGAGGCCTGGCGACGGCGGGAGTGCGGGCTCCCTGGGGGCTGGCTGCAGATGAGGTCACGCTGGGACACTTGGTTTCCGGGAGGGAGGGAGGGGGACCCAGGAGCTGCGGAGTTCAAGTTAGGGCGTGGCTGCCTGTGCCTGTCTACCATGGGCAAAAACCAGTCAGTGAAGTGACATGCCCGGGTCGAAGGTGATGCCAAAGCTGTGCTTCCAGACTGCGCAGGTGGCACTGGCCCCAGCTGAGTGGCCTGTCGCTGCCCAGGGTGCTGTGCGTTGGCCATCTGCCAGTCCTGTGTTCCTTCTCCACACGGCTGCACCAGTGGCGCAAGGTCGTGCAGCATCCTGCCGTGAGGGGGATGGCGGTGCTCACCTCATAGGTTACAGCCATTGGGTGGCCTCCAGTGTGGTAACAGAGGACTGCCAAGGTGTGAAAAGTGCTTAGAAGGGGACCTACAGGTGGACAGGTCAGCCTGCCTGGGCAGAGTGCAGAAGGGCCAGTCTGCCTGGCCAAGTCGCATAGGACAAGATGAGGGTGCTTCCGGCAGGACAGGGTTGCTGGCTTCTCGTGGGAGTGTGGGGAGCCAGTGCGTGGTGTGGCAGGGCAGGGGAGCTGGGCCCTGTGAGGGTGGGTGGGCCTGGTGTGGCAGGGCAGGAGTTGGGCCCTGGTGAGGGTGGGTGGGTGCGGTGCGTGGTGTGAGGCGTGGAGTGGCAGGAGGGAGCTGGGGCCCTGTGAGGGTGGGTGGGCGTGGTGTGGCAGGGCAGGAGTGGGGCCCTGGTGAGGGTGGGTGGGCGTGGTGTGGCAGGGCAGGAGCTGGGCCCTGTGAGGGTGGGTGGGCCTGGTGTGCTGGTGCAGGGCTGGGCCCTGTGAGGGTGGGTGGGCGTGGAGTGGCAGGGCAGGGGAGCTGGGCCCTGTGAGGGTGGGTGGGCCTGGTGTGCTGGTGCAGAGCTGGGCCCTGTGAGGGTGGGTGGGTGTGGTGTGGCAGGGAAGGGGAGCTGGGCCCTGTGAGGGTGGGTGGGCCTGGTGTGCTGGTGCAGAGCTGGGCCCTGTGAGGGTGGGTGGGCGTGGCGTGGCAGGGCAGGGGAGCTGGGCCCTGTGAGGGTGGGTGGGCGTGGTGTGGCATGGCAGGAGCTGGGCCCTGGTGAGGGTGGGTGGGCGTGGTGTGGCAGTGGCAGGAGCTGGGGCCACTGTGAGGGTGGGTGGGACCAGGTGTGCTGGGAGGAGCTGGGGACCACTGTGGAGGGTGGGTGGGCCTGGTGTGCTGGTGCAGGGCTGGCCCTGTGAGGGTGGGTGGGCCTGGTGTGCTGGTGCAGAGCTGGGCTCTGTGAGGGTGGATGGGCCTGGTGTGCTGGTGCAGGGCTAGGCCCTGTGAGGGTGGGTGGGCCTGGTGTGCTGGTGCAGGGCTGGCCCTGTGAGGGTGGGTGGGCCTGGTGTGCTGGTGCAGGGCTGGGCCGGCAGCCTTCCCAGGGCTGCTGTGGTTTCACTCTGAGAGGCAGTCATGTCATGGCAGTCGTGCTGATGAGCTGGGCTGTACCATGTGCACTGGCTGGGAGGAGCTGGGGGACCATGTGTGAGTGGGAGGAGCTGGGGGACCACGTGGAGTGGGAGGAGCTGGGGGACCACGTGGAGCAGGAGGGGCAAGAGGACCATGTGTGAGTGGGAGGAGCTGGGGGACCACGTGGAGTGGGAGGAGCTGGGGGACCATGTGTGAGCGGGAGGAGCTGGGGGACCATGTGTGAGTGGGAGGAGCTGGGGGACCATGTGTGAGCGGGAGGAGCTGGGGGTCCATGTGTGAGCGGGAGGGTTGGGGGACCATGTGTGAGCAGGAGGAGCTGGGGGACCATGTGTGAGCAGGAGGGGCAGGGGGACAAGGTGTGAGCGGGAGGGGTGGGGACCACGTGTGGACACTCAGGCCTGTGGGGACAGGGTGCCTGCTGAGGCTGCTCCCTGAGAAGGTCATGGCTGCACTGGTTTTACCTTTGTGGGGTTGTGACAATGAGCACAGCCCGGCGCTCCCACTGTCCTTGGCACCTCTTTTCTGCAGGAGCGTGTTCTGGCCACTGTTGGCCTGCGCCTCAGCTGGCTGTGAGTGTGTCTTCCCACCCCAGGGGTCCTGCATGTGTCAGCACTGTTGTCCCACGCTCACGACTTCATGTGGCGGTGGAGGAAGACGCTGTATGAGGCAGGCAGGTGACGCGCACCGCATGATGCTAGCTCGAAATGCGTGCGACAGCACTGATGCCAGCCAGCTTGTTCAGGCGGGTTTTTTGTTTGTTTTTAGAATTAATGTACTTGAAAGAAACAGAGAGAGACAGATCTACCATCCACTGGTTTGCTCCTCAAATGGCCACAATGACTAGAACTGGACCAGCCCCAGCCCGGGGAGCCGGGAGCTTCTTTGGGTCTCCCACGTGGGTGCAGGGGCCAAAGCACTTGGTCCACTGCCCGCTGCTTTCCCAGGCCAGTAGCAAGGAGCTGGAAGTGGAGTAGCCGGGACTAGAACTGGCCGCCTGTGGGGTGTGGATGCCACACTGCACTGCAGCACCGCCCCTGTAGCTCAGCTCTCCATCGGCTCTCTGGCCAGTGTGCCCCCGAGGAGTTTACACCGTGTGGCGGGCGTGTGGCACAGCGACCCTCCCGCCGTCCTCTGGGCACTGTGATGCTGCTCCAGGGGGCTTGTCTTGGGTTTCTGGTGACCTGTTCTGATGCAGCCTGTGTTGTTCTTGGGGTGACCTTCCAGGGCTAGCGGGTTGGACTCGTGCATAGAAGGGGAGGCTGAGGCAGCCAGTGGAGGACTGGGTGGAGGTTGGCGTGGTGAGTGCTGGTGCAGTGTTTGTGCTGTTCCTGCTCTGGGCTGGCCTTGGGCTCCGAAGCACTTTAGGTCATTGCTTCCTGGTCAGGTGCGTGGAGAGGGAGTTGGTGCCCTGATTATGAGGTGGTGTGTGGTGGGATGGGCCGTGGGGTGCGTGGGGTGCACAGCTGTGCTCTGAGCCTGTCCCGATGCCCCTCTGACTTGGGGCTTGAGTTTTGGAAGTGGAGCAGCAGCAGCGTGGGAAGGCCTTGCTGTCCCTGGCCCCTCGCCTCCCCTCATCTCAGCTTTCCTCTGAGAGCGCTTTGCCCCCTGCTTAGGGTATCTGCCTGCCTTACTTGGTAAGCATGACCCAGGTGGCCGTGGGCCCTACATCGGAAGGGATGGGCCATCTCCCTCCTCTGGTCCTCGGGCTGTCTGCACAGGTCATGGTGCCAGAGTCAGTGTGCAGGACTCACTGCATTCCTGTGGCCGAGGGCAGGGAGCCGCACCCCCTCTTCTACCACCCTAGGAGCCACGCCACTGCCTTCTGTAGGTGTTCAGATCCAGGTGCTGTTCTGTGGTGGGGCCTCCTGGGCCGCTCCCCCCTTCCTGTCCCGAGCCTGGTGGGGCAGAGGGCAGGGGTGGGAGAGAGGATGGTAGAGCAGGGTGCTTGATGTTTCTGCAAGAAGCTGCACCCTCCAGCGCTGGAGTCCCTAGGGTGGAGACGCAGCAGGGCCTGTGCGGGCGACAAGGATGCCATGCTGCCCTCCTGCAGCTGCTGTGCCCGCGGTGAGCAGCAGGGGCCAGTGGCGCTCCAGGAGTGAGCTGCCGGCCACTCAGCAGCGGGCCTCCTCGGGCTCCTTGCCTTTCAGGGAAGAGGAGGGGGTTTGGTAGACGTGCAGGTGACTCCACAAAGCTCTTCTTGGCACTGGGTGTGTGCTCGGAGGCCCACTTCTGTGTCTGCACACGTGTGTAGCAGGGTTGTGTAGGGGTCCCGCAGGTGGGCAGGCCCTGGCACCGCGGTGTGGTGGTTTGACTGCTGTTGAAACGGAAGGGGGAGAAGATACCCCTTATTTTCTCTAGAGGTGATTCTGAAGTTTGGGGAAGATCTTCTTCTGGTTTCCTGCACACCACCAGCCTAGGTGGGTGATCTCATTTGCAGTGGCAGAGAGCTGTGCCTAGGCCCCCTGGCTGTCTGGTGTAGTGGCCCTGTGCGCCTGGGTTTGCCGAGCTGTGCGTGTGGTTCACAGCCTAGGGGAATGGGCTCTCTCCTTGACCCACAGACGCACCCGTTCCTCCCAGAGCCTGCTCAGGTGCCCCCGGCTGTTGAGAAGTACGTCTGTGTACCCGTGTGTGGGGTCTGCGTGGTGTGGGGGGCCCTGGAGAGCAGCCCCCTAGACCTCGCTCAGCTCCGAGCTCAGGATCTGCGTGCTCCTCCGAGACTTCCCCTGTGGAGAGGAATCGCCCTTCACTTCCCCTGAGGTGGTCAATAACTCATGCTTACACTGCAAAACGTCTCCTGAAAAATGCTCCTGGAGACCACAGGGCCGTGCAGTTCCACATTGCCTTTTGCAAGGTGGCCATAGCTCTTCCTTTGGTCCACTCCTGAACTGGCCCTGGCATAGCTTATTTCCCCAGCTTTGTTCCTTGGAGGAGGGTGCTGGGCCAGCATCCTGGGGTGCTCTCTACACAGCTGAGCCTGGAGCGGGGTTGGGGGGCCTCTCTGCTCCGGGCACCAGAGCGCAGGTGTCGCTGCAGCGGCCAGTCCATCACGGGGTAATTGGGTAGCATCCCGGGCTGTGGCAAACGATGAGAAAGCGACTCCTGGACAGCTCGAATCCATCAGAGTAAGGAGAGGCGCGTAATTGCCCCTATGGAAGCGGCCTGTGTCAGGGAGCATCAGTGTAATCCGAATGAAATTCCTGCACGCCCTTGCAAGCGGCGTGTACATCAGCCTGCCTCTGGAGGTGCTTAACCCTCTCGCTGCAGGGCCAGCTGCCCCACGTGTTCTCTGTGTGGCCGGCAGGGAGGCCATGGCCCCCAGGGTGTAACCTACCTCACGCGCAGGGGCTCCTTTGCTGGGAGCGGCTTCCCGTAGCAGGTCTTGGCCGCCCTTCTGTCTGCAGGGAGGCCCCTTCTTCGGGGAAGGTGCTTTCCTCAGCCCACTCCTGGGGGGCTCTGAACCCCACGTGGAGGGATGCCGGATGCCAGAGGACCTCGCTCTGTGACGCTGCCAGGGCTGGGCTCAGTGCTGTGGCGGTTGAGCTGCCCACCGTCGGGGACAGCTTGCAGATGACCCCAGCAGCATCTGCGGGATGGCTCCCCCTTGGGGCTCTGGGCTTGGAATGCCCGGGAGGCCTGGCCTCGGTCCCAGGTGCTGGCTGGATGTGGCTGGGTGTCGCCAACTCCCTGGGCGTGGTTCAGCCCTGTGACCCTAAGCTCATTCATCTGTATGTGAGGATGGCAACAGCATGGCCCCCCTGGGGCCCCTCCAGGCACCCAGTGTGCAGCCGGGGTCCATGAGCACCTACTGTGCGCCAGGCCCCATGCTGGAGCTGGACGTCCAGGGCATCTGTGCAGTGGGGGAGCACAATCCTTTGCAGAGGCGGCTGGGCCCACTGTCGGCCCTGTCACTGTGGGTGACAGGTGGGAACCACGCCCCGGACAGAGTGGTGCCTGTGTTTTTGAAGCTGAAGGCGTTAAGACAGGTACATTTAAATGATTTATTAACCTGTTCAGCCTGTCGGGGAGGAAGCTTGTCCAGTGCGGACCGAGTGAGAGGTGATGGGTGGGTGGGAGAGAAGGGAGCCCGCGGCTGCTGTGTCGGGGCCATCCTGCAGGCGACTTGACAGGCTGACTTGCACTGTTCATCTGGCCTTGCCCATTGGTGCTCAGTGTCCTGCTCCACAGTGCCACTGCCACCACGCTCAGCCCCTGTGCCAGTCGGGAAGGCCACCCATGGGCCCGAGGCCCCAGTGACTTTGTGCAGATGGCTGGAGCCGTGCACTGGGGCCTGGCTTCCTGTGCCCGGAAGTGTTATACTCACATGGGGTCTGGAGCTTTAGTCCTGATGTGTCCTGCAGGAAAGTGTGTGCAGCTGGACCCCATCGCCTGTTTCCTGGGTCCTTACACGTTTTGCGTGGTGCTGTCCCTGCACCAGAGGGCCAGCAGACAACTTCCGGCAAAGAGTACGTGTCCCTTTCGGTGGTCGTTCTGGCAGCTTTCCCGGCTGGGCCCTGCTGGCCCACTTCACTCTGCATGTCGGTACCTGGGCTTCTGGCCGGGACTCTGGGACTTGGAGGGTTTGTTTTGTGTTTGGTAAGCAGAAGAGAGAGGCGGTAGCCCTCGCAGAGCAGCTGGTTGCACAGCCTTTGCCAGAACCGCTTCAAGGTGACCAGTAAGTATCAGAGCCAAGGGTGAGAGCGAGTGGTGGCCGTTCAGGTAGCTCAAGCGGGCGCCGGTGCGCAAGGTGACGTGGCGTGCTTGACTTTTAAGAGACAGCGCTCGAATCCCGGGAACAGACACATAATTCTCTCTTAGCCCCAGCACTTGTCCCCTCCCGGTGGTCATTATTTCATCATTTTGCAGTACGAGATAATAGAATGACGATTTATGCCCCTGGCTGAGGTTTTAATGTGTCTCTCTGTTATCCCCGGCTGACAGTCTGTGATCACAGTAAACGCTTTCTTGGTGACTCCATGGTAATGCCTCGTTAACAGTGGGTTCCTTCCAAGCTTTAGTCACACTGGGGCACCCCAGCCTCGGGTTCCTTCAGTCACACTGGGGCACCCCTGGCCTCGGGTTCCTTCAGTCACGCTGGGGCACCCCTGGCCTCGGGTTCCTTCAGTCACGCTGGGGCACCCCTGGCCTCGGGTTCCTTCAGTCACACTGGGGCACCCCTGGCCTCGGGTTCCTTCAGTCATGCTGGGGCACCCCCGGCCTCGGCCCTCCCTGCCTGTCTCTGTCCTGGGGGCAGGGACTTGCTGGTGCTCGGCTGGTGGCTGCATTCCAGGGATTCCCCCACACGTGGATGTTGATTTGGGGACCATTGCTCGATGTTGCCTTCGGTAGCCGGTGGGTGCCTGCCTGCTGCTGGTCAGCCGCCCAGCCCTGCGGCCCCGGGCCTGTCCTCTGTGCTGTCAGCTCTCACTAAGCACGACAGAGCTGGGGGAGCGGCAGCACAGAGGAAGCCGTGTGCCAAGTGTCGCTTGTCGCTCCCTGGACAGCAGGGAGGCCCACAGTCAGGGCATGACGTTGATTGCAAATAGCCACAGGAATGCCACCTGTGTGGCTTAGGTCCCAAAGACATGCTTTATAGTTTTTAAAATTGTGTTTGACAGAGAGAGAGACAGACAGACAGACAGAGATGACACACGCACACGGAGAGCTGATTTTCCATCTGCTGATTCATTTCCCTGAATGTCTACATTGACCAGGGCTGGGGGCTGGGAACTCCATCCGGGTCTCCCAGGCAGTGACCCCCCCCGCCCCACTGGGGGCTTTTACCTGTGGCCCCCTAGGGTGCCCAGGAGCAGGAAGCTGAGCTGCGGAGGCTTGGACCCTTGGCACACTGCTGTGGGCCGTGAGTGCTCTAAGTGCTGTCTTACCTGCTGGGTGTCGAATGCCCACACTCCACAGAAGCTCGGTAAGATGTTCCAAGGAGGTTTTTGTTTAAGGGAGGGACACACACACACAGAGCGTTTTCCATCTGCTGGCTTATTGCCTAAATGGCTACAGTGACTGAGGCTGGGACAGGTGGAAGCCCGGAGCCTGGTGCCCCGTTGGGCTCTCCCACAGGGGTGGCAGGGTCCGTGTCCCTGGCCTGCAATCAGGTGTGTTACAGGGAGTGGGCCTTGAACTGGCATTCCCACCATAACCTCCTTCCCAGCAGTGCTGGCCCCCAAGGTGACCTTGTGTCTGAGGGAAGCGATCAGTCGGGCTCTGAGCACCTGAGGAAACCTCCTTAAACACAGGCCCGGTGGCCAGGCCACGGGTTGGCAGGCCGGCAGCCCATGTCACAGTGCCCGTGATAGACGCCAGCGCCCACTCCTGACTCCAGCATCCTGCCGGTGCAGACCGCGGCCGCCAGCCGAGGGCTCAGGAGTCGGGGCCCTGTCCCCAGCGTGGGAGTCCGGGCTTGTCTCTTTGCTTTGGCCTTGGCCTGGCCGCGCCCCATACTTTTAGCGAGTGAGCCAGTGGACAGGAGTTGTGCGTTATCTGTTCCTTTCTCTGTTGCCTCCGAAATAAATAAATAAATGGATAAAAGAACTTAAACAGAGTTAGTCTATGTGGACCTTCACTCAGTGACAGTCACACGTCAGCATTGGCAGCTTGTGACAGCCGTTGCATTCGCTGGGCCTCGTGTGAGGCTCCACAAGGTGTGGGGGTGGTCAGCAGGCCAGTGTGTTTGCGTTGGGCGCGTTCTTAGCCCCTCTTGCTGGTCCTGCGTGGTGTTGTCCGTCCCACAGGGCAGGGAGGCTCATTGCCCTGATCCTGGTTCCCTGGTCAGTGACGTTTGCTGAAGTGTGGATGCAAAGTCTGATGTCATGGGTGCCAGGCGCCCTGGAGCGAGGCTCTGCTGCAGCACGTGGTTCTCTGGGGGCCCCTTTCCTGGGCTCAGCCTCTTCCCTCACACCCTGGGCAGGTGTGGCTTTCCCTGCGAGGGCGCGTGGTAGACAGGCCCAGGTCCCGGGCACCCTGCGGCCTCCCTGCCGTCCCCCCAGCTGCCCTCCTCGCTTCCTTTTCTGCAAGGCTGAGGACGTGTGGTCCACCTCTGATTTCTCTTTTGCAGCCCCTGTATTTTCACACGTCCCTAAACCACCCGAACATTGTGGCCGTGGTGGAGGTGGTTACCGAAGGCAGGAAGCGGGACGGGACCCTCCAGTCGCTGTCGTGTGGCTTTGGAATCCTCCGGATCTTCAGCACCAAGCTGGACTCTCCCACCCCTGCTTCTCAGGACAAGCGGTATCTTCCTCCTCATGTCCTCGCTGGGGTGGGGGCTGCCCAGCGTCTTACTTCTCATCTTTTGGTGACACTGGAGACCAGCTTGTCAGCCCTGCCTGCCGCAAGTCCCCGGCAGTGTTTGCTGGGGTGGCTCCCTCTTGGGGCTCTGACTGGGCTTGGAATGAAGCCCCAGTGAGGCCTGGCCCCGGTCCCAGGTGGTGGCTGGATGTGGCCGGGTGTCGCAGATTCCCTGGGGGGTTCAGCCCTGTGACCCTAAGCTCACTCATCTGTATGTGAGGATGGCAACAGTGTGGCCTCCTGGGGCCCCTCAGTCATCAGGTTGAGAGCTTGTCTCCCCCAGGTACCCAGTGAGCAGCTGGGATCTGTTAGCAGACCCTGCTGACCACCTGCTGTGTGCCAGGCCCCGCTGGAACTGGACGTCCGGAGCGACTCAGCTCATGCTGAGTCCTGCCAGCTGGGCTGTTGTCACGTTTTCCCCTATGGCCCCCTCGGGCTGGGTGGTTCTTGCTGGCACGGGGGCTGACCAGTGCAGTATCCTGGCCTCTGGCCCTGCTGTCCAGTGGGTCATAGTGTGTGATCGCCGCCAGGGAGAAGCTCAGCTGCAGTTTGTGGCCACAGCACGTCGTCCTGCACTGTCTTCCGTGGTGGCATTCCAGGGTTCTGCATGAGCTCCCAGTGTCCTTGGCCACCAGGGCACAGGGCTCTTTGTATGCCAACTCGCTGGGCTGAGAGCGCTGGGCACCTGGGGAGCCAGTGCTGTGGTCAGCTGCCTGTGTTTCCTGCCAAGGACGAGCTGGACTGTGTTTAGAAAGCTCGTGGGGGCAGCGGTGGGGGGAGATGTGTGGCTGACCTGGGGGGCGTGTGGGTGCAGGTGGTGACATGGTCCCTGCTCTGTCTTGCAGGTTGAGGCTTTACCATGGCAGCCCCAGAGCCCTCCTGCACCCGCTGCTCCAGGACCCCGTGGAACGTAAGAGTCCAGCCGCTCCCCTGGGCCCTGTTGTGTCATGTGCCTTGTGAGAACCTGCTCACTCATTCCTTCACTTTGGGAGAACTTCCCGTGGATCTGGAGTTGGGTGTCATGTGGAGAACTGGGCTGCACAGCCTGGACACAGCCTGTTACCCTGTGACAGTGTACGAGGGAAGGATGTGGCCTTGGGAAGGGGCCCCTCAGGGGGACAGCTGACCCCCTGTGTGCTGCTTGCTGGTGCTGGCCGCTGGTGCTCAGCCCTACATGGTACAGTCACCCGTCACCCCAACTCTGGAGTCTCTGTATGTTCCTGGGAAGGCCCACCGGTCCCTCGTCTTCTGGAAGGTGCAGTGGCCAGAGGCTGCCCCAGTGCAAGGAGGCTTTCTGCTCTGCCCAGAGCCAGAGGGACACCAGGCGGGCCTGGCCAGGAGCTGGCAGGGGAGGTGTGGGTCCCTCTGCCGCTGGGTGGGAGTGTGGCAGGTGTGGACCCGGAGCTGAGGCTGTGCCCGCTCTGCGCCTGTGATGTGTCTTTGAGGCTGCTGCCTGGTTCCCTGGCTGGGAGCGGGTGTGGGCGGTGGGGGCAGGCTGAGTTAGAGGTGGTCCAGGGTGGGTATGGGAGCAGTCGGAAGCTTGGTGGTTCCAATTCGGATGCATTGAATTCTTAGCTTTCTAGGAATTCTCTCCTGCAGGATCTTTAGGAACCTTGAGCAGCGGGCTTGGCATGGTGTGTGACCACTGTGAGTGTGAGTCAGCGTATTTGAACACTGGCACATGTTTGAATACCGTGTGTGTATGTGAACTCTAGGCATGTAACATTTGTGCATGCATGTTTGAATACTGTGTGTCTGTGTGAACTCTAGGCATGTAACGTGTGTGCATGTATGTTTGAATACAGTGTGTGTATGTGAACGCTAGACACGTAATGTGTGTGCATGTATGTTTGAATACCGTGTGTATATGTGAACACTAGGCATGTAACGTGTGCATGCATGTTTGAATACCGTGTGTATGTGAACTCTAGGCATATAACATGTCTGTGCATGCATGTTTGAATACCGTGTGTGAACTCTAGACATGTAACGTGTGTGCATATATGTTTGAATACCGTGTGTGCATGTGAACTCTAGGCATGTAACATGTGTGTATGTATGTTTGAGTACCACGTGTGTGAACTCTAGCCATGTAACGTCTGTGCATGTATGTTTGAATACCGTGTGTGTATGTGAACACTAGGCATGTAACGTGTGTGTGCATGTATGTTTGAGCAGTATGTGTGTGTGAAATGTGGGCAAGCATGTTTGTTGCTTGTGCAGTTTTGGGGCCCCCTGGGGGTGCCTGCATCCTCTGGGCTGTGCAGGGCCATGACAGGAGCCAGGTGTGGGAACACTGGGGTGCCAGTGTCCTCTGGGCTGTGCAGGGCCCTGAGGGGAGCCAGGTGTGGGAGCACTGGGGGTGCCTGCATCCTCTGGGCTGTGCAGGGCCATGATGGGAGCCAGGTGTGGGAGCACTGGGGGTGCCTGCATCCTCTGGGCTGTGCAGGGCCTTGACGGGAGCCAGGTGTGGGAGCACTGGGGTGCCAGTGTCCTCTGGGCTGTGCAGGGCCCTGAGGGGAGCCAGGTGTGGGAGCACTGGGGGTGCCTGCATCCTCTGGGCTATGCAGGGCCATGATGGGAGCCAGGTGTGGGAGCGCTGGGGTGCCCGTGGCCTCTGGGCTGTGCAGGGCCATGATGGGAGCCAGGTGTGGGAGCACTGGGGTGCCAGTGTCCTCTGGGCTGTGCAGGGCCCTGAGGGGAGCCAGGTGTGGGAGCACTGGGGGTGCCTGCATCCTCTGGGCTATGCAGGGCCATGATGGGAGCCAGGTGTGGGAGCGCTGGGTTGCCCGTGGCCTCTGGGCTGTGCAGGGCCATGATGGGAGCCAGGTGTGGGAGCACTGGGGGTGCCTGCATCCTCTGGGCTGTGCAGGGCCTTGACGGGAGCCAGGTGTGGGAACACTGGGGTGCCTGCATCCTCTGGGCTGTGCAGGGCCCTGAGGGGAGCCAGGTGTGGGAGCACTGGGGGTGCCTGCATCCTCTGGGCTATGCAGGGCCATGATGGGAGCCAGGTGTGGGAGCGCTGGGGTGCCCGTGGCCTCTGGGCTGTGCAGGGCCATGATGGGAGCCAGGTGTGGGAGCACTGGGGTGCCAGTGTCCTCTGGGCTGTGCAGGGCCCTGAGGGGAGCCAGGTGTGGGAGCACTGGGGGTGCCTGCATCCTCTGGGCTATGCAGGGCCATGATGGGAGCCAGGTGTGGGAGCGCTGGGTTGCCCGTGGCCTCTGGGCTGTGCAGGGCCATGATGGGAGCCAGGTGTGGGAGCACTGGGGGTGCCTGCATCCTCTGGGCTGTGCAGGGCCCTGAGGGGAGCCAGGTGTGGGAGTGCTGGGGTGCCAAGGCCTCTGGGCTATGCAGGGCCCTGAGAGGAGCCAGGTTTGGGGGGTTTGGGGGCACTGGTGGTGCCAGTGTCCTCTGGGCTGTGCAGGGCCATGACAGGAGCCAGCCACAGGCCCGTCAGCTCATCTCTGCTGTTGGCACTTGCAGAAGAGTGTCAAGTGGTGATGTAGCCTTGGGACTGAGAGGTGCTGTCTACACAGCAGGAAAGCCCCCTCCCTGGGCTCCCCTGGACCCCCAGGGCCCTGGCACACACATACACACACACACACACACACACACACACAGGAGTGTGTGAGGCTGTCCTGGGCTTCCTTTCCTCCCTGTCCTCACGTGGCCTCAGGCTGCCTTTTCCACCTCCAGGAGGGTTTCCCATCCGTGCAGAAAGCCCTCACCTTTCATGCATGCTCTGGTGGTCCAGGGGGACCGAAGTGGGTGCCATAGTTCCCAGGGAACTGTCTGGGCAGCTCCCACGTGGAGGCTTTGTTCCTCTGTTGGCCTTCTCTGGAGCCCTTGGGCAGCTCCTACGTGGAGGCCGTGATCCCCGCTGGCGTTCTGTGGCACCCCTGCCGGTTCTGCCCCTGCAGCCTCGCAGGCAGACGCCCCCCCAGAGATATTTCCAGCGTCCAAGGAGCAGGTCCCGTTCCTGAGCGCGGGGCCTTGAGCATGCAGTCTTCGTTCATTCCTCTCCTTGAGGAGCTGGTTGTTCTCAGCTCTTTCTTCCATGAGAGAATGACCAAAGTGAACCTGTCGCGCTTCGTGGCCTTCATGCACTGTGCACATGGCCAGCATGGCCAGCCGGTGTTTGGAGGGGTGAGCTTCGGACACTCCCGGCTGTGGTCACTCGGGGAAGGCAGGCAGGAGAGCTTGTTGGGTTGGATGGAAATCAAGGCCCTTTCTCACTGCACTCTGGTCAGAGGCTTGCCTCAGCCGGGTGTGGCTGCTCCCCTGTCTGCTCAGGGCCGTGTGTTCTGTCTGGGAGTTCCTCTCCAGAGTCCTGGCAGTCTGGTGCCTCTGGTCCCAGCCATCCCATGGGCTTTTCTCCCCACAGAAAACAAGCACCTCACTGTCATTGAGGGCTGCAGCCTGCAGTACAGCCTGAAGCCACACCCACCGCTGGAGCCAGCCCTCCACCTTCTGCCTGAGAACCTGCTGGTGTCGGGGCTGCAGCACATCCCTGGCCTCCTGCCGGCGCCCGGGGACACCGGTAAGGGCTCCTCGCTGCTCTCTGCTCCGGGCGTGGGGGGCTGGGGTCAGGGACCCTCCCTCGGATCCTTCACGTTCGTCCATCCCTCTGCACGTACTTGGCTGCTTCTGCCCCTTGGCGTGGGTGAGGGATGCTGCTGCAAGCACACGTGTACATCTGACTTTCCAATAAAAATAAGTAAATCTTAAAAAAAAGCAGGGCAGGCTTCACAGCTGTGGCAGGAAAGTAGCAGGGAGACACTCGGGGTGCAGGGATGGGTGCCAGGCATTCGCTGATTGGGGTGCCTGTAGCAAGGCTGGTGTGCACGGCGTTGGCAGCGTCACTGGCTCGCCAGCCCCGACCGCAGTCGCCCTGCTGAGTGGTCACGGGCGCTTGGGCCCCTCAGTTCCTCCATTGCTGTCTCTTTCTTCATTGCTCTCCAAGCTGGCAGGCCTTCGTGGCGGTCTTGGGAGAGCAGGATGCCGGGCCAGTGGTCAGGCAGTCCATGGGGACTCTAGGTCCTGCGTCATTCTCCCCTCCTGTCTGGAACACACTCCACCCGCGCCAGCTGGGCCCTACCAACTTGCTGTGTGAACTGCACACCCTCTGGCTGCTCCAGCCGCACCCCGTTTGTTCATTCGAGAGAGTCACAGTGGAGGGAGAGGCAGAGTTCTTCTGTCGGCTGGTTCACCCCTAGCGTAGATGGTGGCAGCTGCTGGGGCTGCGCCCGGCTGAGCCAAGCAGCTGGAGCTCCCTCCGGGTCTGCTGAGCACTGGCCAGCTCGTGTTGCTTCGTCTAGGCTCTTTAGTGGGGAGCTGCTTGGGAAGTGGAGCGGCTGGGACTCAGAGCCAGGCTCCTGTGGGTGCCGGTGTCACAGCCTGCAGCTTGACCCGCTGCGTCACAAAGCTGCCCCCCTGCCCCACCTGTGCATCTTATCTTGAAATTCTTGTTTCCTCCTGACTTGTCCGCCCGCCCTCGCTGCCGTCCTCCTGGCTTGGTGTGCCTGGCGCTTGTGGGGACCGACCAAGGGGCCGCTCCCCACATCCTTTCCCTGCTGTACTCTGATGCTTGCAGTCTCCCTGGGGAGCCTCCTGGCCTCAGCTCCCCACTTGCCTGCAGCCAGAGGCACGGCCTCTGCAGGCCTGGCTCCTTCCTGTGAAACCAAACTTGGAAGCCTTGTCTTGGGGTGGATGGCCTGCTGTAGAGAGGCCTCCTGAGGCTGTGCCTTCTCAGGGCAAGAGTCCCCAGAGGTTTTTGCCATAAGTGATCCTTTGAGGGTGGCGTTCGGTGGAAAGACCAGCATAGCTGGCCAGATGCCCATGTCCCCTGTGGCTGGGGCAGTCTTTTACCTACAGTTCTGCCCGATTCCAGACCCTGGGCAGCTGTGGGGTTGGCTCAAGAAGCCGGATCCCTGCTGCTACACGGGAGGCCCGGGTTTAGTTCCCCGCTGCTGGGGTCGGCTGGCCCAGCCCCACCACCATAGGCGTGTGTCAAGTGAGCCTCTTCTTATTTCTGGCTCTCTGCCACTTAAATAAATAATGACAAGATGTTGAAACAGACCCTTGTTGGTCCAGCTCCATGTTCCTGGGGACAGTGCCTTGGAGTCTGCATTTTAAGCAGCACTGTGGGGTTCCCGGGGAGGCCTGGGAACTGGGTGTGGCTGCAGGGAGTGTCCCCTGCTCCAGCACTCGTCACCTGCCCAGCACCTGGGCGCTCGCTGCTCAGGGTACCGTGCCGTGGCATGCCGTGGGGAGGGGAGAGTCAGGGTGGGGTTAGTCCCCACACCTCCTGTGAGCACCTTGACTTTTGTCTGTTGTTGGCCTCTTGATGTAGTACTGAAGACTGTTTCAAAATGACCAAATGAATCATTTTTTTTAAATTAAGATTTAATTACTTTTTGCTTGAAAGAATTAGAGAGAAAGAGGGAGAAGGAAAAGAGGGGGCGAGTCCTGCATTTGCTGTTTTACTCCCCAGTGGCCATAGTGGTCAGAACTGGGCTGACTCCAAAGCCCGGAGCCAGAGCTTCCTTTGGGTCTCCCACGTAGGTGCCGGGTCCCAAGTGGAGGACAGTGGAGGACACCTGCCCAGCCCCTGCCCCGTGCTCACCTGCTGTGGCTCCTGCCCAGCCTTTGCCACACTTGGCTTTCGTCTGGTTGTGTGCCATGAGTGCGTCCTTGTGATTTGAGATTGCAGCCGAGGGAGACGTCCCCTGGGAAACCCGTACCCCTCTCGGGGTGTTTCTGGGTGCCTCCTGAGGCCATCTGTGGGAAGGGTGCTCCTGCTTGTTAAGTATTTGCCAGCAGCCCTCCTTTTCTCTGCGGTGCCCTCATGGGAGCCCTCGAATAAGATGGCTTATCACCAAGTGGGGTGTGTTCTCCCAGGGGAGCAGTGTTAGTGCTGGCAGCCGCATCCCTCTCCGACGCTGTGGTGACGGGTAAAGCCAGGGGCAGCTGGAGGCGTCCAGGAGTAGCCAGAATGGATGTGTCGGGGTGGGCACTGCCCCTCCCTTCACCGCCGAGGACTCGGATGCCCAGTACAGGGCTGCGGCAGCAGGGTCTGCACCAGCTGCGTGAGCCCCCTCTTTGTTTCCTGATCCGCGGTGTGCAAGGCTCACCAGTCCTCTCCTCTGTGGGATTTGCTTGTTCAGCCTCTGCTGGGCTCCGGCCTCCTGTGCATGTGTGTCTGGCATGGTGGCCTCCTGTCAGCGGGCCCTGGGCACCTCTGAAAGTGAGCCTGGGCGCCTCCTGACAGCGGGCCCGGGTGCCTCTTGTGGGCCCGGGTGCCTCCTGACAGGGGCCTGAGTGCCTCCTGACAGCGGGCCTGGGTGCCTCCTGTGGGCCCGGGCGCCTCCTGACAGTGGGCCCGGGTGCCTCCTGACAGGGGCCTGAGCGCCTCCTGACAGCGGGCCCGGATGCCTCTGTGCTCCTCTCTGCCTCTCCCTGCCACCCTGCCTGCTCCTGACTTCTCTCTCTTTCAGATGGCTCTTCAGGGTAGGGTGAAGTCATGTGTCTGGGTCCTCCCTTTGTCCTGCTGCAGCTGCACAGAGCTGGGTGGCTTGGTTCGTAGGTTCTTTATGAGCACGTAAGTGCCCTGGGGCGTGGGTGCAGTCCACCAGCTGCCCAGGGTCCTGTGCTGGGCTGGTGAGGGGCCAGGAGGTGCCGTGTTCCCACTTGGTGTGGATGGAGGGAACAGGTGGTGGAGATGGACTTGTCTCGGTACCCTTGGCAGATGTGACTGAGGGTGTGTCCTGTACTCAGTGGTGGATGGCAGCGTGGGGGCTGCTCACTGTCCCAGCCTGGAGGCCTTCAAGTCCGGACTCGCATGCTGAGTGTTAGAAGCCCGAGGGGGTAGCGGGAGATGGTCCTGCTGTGTCAGGGCTGCACGGAGGAGGCATGGGGCCGCCAGGAGCACGAGGGGTGCAGGGGCCTGAGGCTTCTCGTTCTCCCATCATTGACTGGCTCTTGTGGCTGTGGTGACTCTGAGAGCTGCAGTAGCAGGCTCCTCTGCTGCTGTGAATGCCCTGGTGGGTCCCAGCTGCCAAGCCTAGCTCCTCAGTCACTGGCCCGGTCATCACTCTGTGGACACTGGCTCCTCGGTCGTTGGCCTGGTCATCCCCCTGTGGACACTGGCTCCTCAGTCGTTGGCCTGGTCCCTCTGTGGACACGGGCTCCTCGGTCGCTAGTCCGGTCATCCCCCTGCGGACACTGGCTCCTTGGTCGCTGGCCCGGTCCCTCTGTGGACACTGTGTTGCTTCCGTTTTGTCTTGGCTATTGTGGTTGATGCTGCTTTAATTTTTTCTTAATAAAAAATGTGGCTTTGTTTATTTGCATCTAATTGAAAGGGAATGGTACAGAGAGGAAGAGAGGTTGAAGCTTTCCATCTGCTGGTTCACTCAGCAGGTGCAACAGCCAGGACCGGGCCTGGTCAGGCCAACAGCCTCTAACTGCGTAGGAGTCTCTCGCATGGATGGCAGAGGTGCAAGGACCAGGGTCGTCTGCTGCCTGCCAGAGTGCATTACGGCAGGCTGGGGCTGGACCCCGTGCTCCCAGGGTGAGGTGTGGCTCCCCTGCTCTGCTTCCACCTGGTTGCTGTTAGAAGCAGCCTAACGCATGCATGGGGGGCGGAGCGTAGAAAGCCCGAGAGGACGAGGTGGTTTCTGACCTCCGCCCGCAGCCACGTGTGTGCCGACATTGCGAGGAGGCGCTCTCACCAGAAAGAATCATGGTTAGTTTTGTCCTTTTTTGTTGACCTACGATTTGATTATTGTCAGTCATCACATAAGCATTGACAGTGCCAGGTCTTTTGGCTCAGCTGGCGTGGGTAAGCAGTGACTTACTTGCCATTTAGTCATTTCTGACCGTTTGTTATGATTTTTCTCTGTCATAAAGCGTGCTCCAGGAGGAATCCCTGCACAGCAGTGCTCACTCCTGCCTTTGAGTGGAGTGGTGGAGGGGGTGTGGGACGCCCTTAGGGCGCTGGTGGCCCTGGGCCAGCCCTCCAGCAGGGGCTGCAGCGCCCCAGAGGGGCTGTTTCCTTGTGGTGGGAGGCCATCTCGGTGAAATAGTGGCGGACGGCAGGAGGAGATCTGTTCTCAGAGGATCTGTTCTGAGAGGGCGGGGAGAGAGGCCGGCTCCACCAGGCTGCAGGGTGTCTTCCCTCGGCCTCCACGCTTGGTCTCTGTCCCCAGGGGCTGGGAGACGGGCTCCCACGTCCGAGGCCACTTCTTCCATATCTCAGTGGAGGTCGTCTCGTGTCCACCCTGAGTGACACGCCAGGAGTCGTTGCCCTCCTGGTCTTGAGGGAGCTCAAGGTGCAGGGGCTTCTGGGCCAGTCCGCTCCGTGGCAGCCCTGCTCCTGAGTGTCCTTGTGTGTCCTCAGCTGGTTCAAGGGAACGGCAGCGCGGTAAGACATGGTGTGCTTGTCTGGATTCTTGCTCAAGGGGAGCAGGGGCCCGGGGGAGCAGGCTGACCGGTGCAGGAGTCTCCGTGTCCCTTGGACCGTCGCAGTGTGAAATCTCTTGCTGGTGGGCAGGTGTTGGGTCGAGTTTGGACTTCAGTGAGCCTGGTGCTTGTTTAATCGATTTGGGGGTTGGCATGGCAGTTCTGGGTCCCGGTGGGCACTGTGGCTGCGCGCTTGCCCGTGTTTTGCCTCCTGCCCTTGGCTGCCCTGGCCCAGGACCTGCTCCTGGATGCCAGCCCTCTGCACTTTCAGGTGATGCCCTCCGGAAGCCTCGTCTTCAGAAGTGTGTCCCATGGTACCTGGACGACGTGTTCTTCACGCTGTACCCCTGCCTGGAGAAGTTCGAGGAGGAGCTGCTGGAGCACCTGGTCAGCGACCATGTCCGGGAGGTACGGTCTCGCGGTCCCCGGCTCGGGGGGCGGGGCCTGCGGGGCAGCCTGTGACTCATGCTCCAGCTACTGTCTTAGTGTGGATGCTGGGGGAGGTGAGCACTCTAGCCTCGGTAGGTGGGAATTCAGGGCGTGGTGTGGGGCCTAGCACGTCAAGGCGCTGGTGAGAACTGGGTGGATTTCCGGGTTCCAGCTTCGGCTCAGGCCAGGCCCATCCTTGTGTGTACTTGGGAGTGTACTCCAGGCTGGGACCAGGAGCCGGGAACTCCATGCTGGTCCCCGCTTGGGCGCAGGGCCCCGACACTCAGGCCTTCCTCCACTGCCTCCCGAAGGAGCATTAGCGGGAAGCAGGATTGGAAGCGGAGCAGCCGAGCCCAGAGCTGGCTCTCCGAAGAGGGCTGCCGCTGTTGCAAACGTTGGCTTAGTCTGCTCCAGGACGGCCTTCACTTTTTTGGGCCAGAAAGAAAAGAAGCTTTTCTGGCTGCAATGTGGGTGCCGTTCTCTTCTCTGAATCCTGAGTGTGGGCACACACAGGGCATTCCTGTGTGGTGCCATTGGTGATGGCAGACAGACGCCGCGTGCTGCCGCTGCTGTCCCTGCCCGTGTCTTCCTCCCTGTGCAACCCCCGGCCTCTGTGCCTCTTGTACTGGTCTCCCTGTGTGTGGAGCATCTGCAGCCCACCTAGCCTTGCCTGGTTTTTTGTTCAGCGTCTGCCTTCTTGGGATGCTCCAGTGAGATCGTTGCTGGGGCTGGCACAGTGCTGTTTGCCTGCCCGGTATCAAGATGGTCCTTGACAGACGTAGGTCCAGCTCCTGCCCTGGCTTGTCTAGAATCTCCTGCTGGCCTCTCCTTGCCCTGGGTCAATAGCAAGACTCCACACCTATGATCCAGAGTGTGGCGTGGTCCTTGCTGGCTTCCCTGACCTCTCTCTGCTGCTCCTTCCCTTGTCTCACAGGTGTCACCTGCCCGCTCCCTGCCACAGACCCGTGAGCACGTGGCCCCCTCATCGGTTCCTCCCACAGGGCGACCCCCTTGGCCCTCCTGGGGGGCAGGATCCCTCCATCTGCACCGAGCCTCTCCGGGCAGTCCCCCGTTAGTGTGCTGTGTGCTCAGCCCCTCTGCCAGGGCTCTCGTCAGTCCCCACTCATGAGGGGGTGTCGATGAGAATGTGGTGCCGATTTGTTCACCATGATGTGCATTAATGGGGTTTGGCCGCAGGAGGGCTGTGATGCCGTGGTGTTGAGGTGTGGTGTGTCCCACAGGTCCCTGGGAACACGGAGACTTGTGCTGCTAGCCCGTCCTGGGCAGCGTGGTCCCGCGTGATCGGGCCTGCCTGAGACACAGATGCAGGGCAGGGACCCAGCTTCGGTGGCCACCCCGTGGCCTAGTGCCAGCTGCCGTGGGAACAGAGATGCCGTAACAGTCTCGTGGCTGAATTGCACACGTCACTGTAAAAATCGCTTCATTCTGTTTTTCCTGTCCGACTGGCAGGTACTCAGTTATTGATCTCGCTTTGGTTTCATTATCCAAAGACTAATACGGGCTGACTGCAGGTCTGTTCGGCGTGATTAATGGCCAGTGAGGACAACTTGAGAATCCAGAGATGAGCTCTGCAGAGAACACCCGGTTTAATAACTGCTGGTAGCCGGGAGGAGGGCTCCTGGCCCGCGTGTCAGCGTGCCTGTTGCTCCGGCTGGGGGGAAGCGTGTTAGACTCACGGCCCGTGTTCGCTGTAGGGCGGGTCCGTCTTCGCTGGCTTGTGACTGCCCGTGCCGGTCCTCCTCCCCGCGCCCCTCCACCCCCGGTCTCAAGTCCCTGGGTGAGCAGAGTTGAAACCCCAAGGGCTCTGCTTCCAGGCACCTCCGTGTCAGAGCAGGTGGGCTGCCGGAGTCCGCTAAGCTGTGGAGGTGGAGCTTGTTGAAGGAGCCATGGCCCGGGGTCCTGCTCGGCTCTGCCTGCAGATGTGGCTGTGCTGGCGCTGGCCTCTGGGATTTAATAAGGAATCTGTCCTCAGGCCAAGGGACTGTTTGCAACTTGGGTGCCGCCCTTCTCTCCGCTCTCCTCCTCGCCTGCAAGTTGGGTTCCTCCAGAGGCTGCCGCTTCCCGCCCGTATGCCCCTCACAGCTCCCGTCCCCGTGTCTATTCCAGAGCGGCGGCCCGCTGGACGGCGGCATGTTGGAGGTCCGGGAGCGGCGCCTGCATGTGGGGGTGCACAACGGCCTGGGCTTCGTGCAGAGGCCGCAAGTGGTGGTGCTGGTACCCGAGATGGACGTGGCCTTGACACGCTCAGCCAGCTTCAGCTGGAAAGTCAGTTCCTCTTCCAAGGCCAGGTATGCTGTCCTGGTCCCCGGCCCCATGGGAGGAGGAGGGCTGGGTGGGGGCACCCGAGGGTCGCCGTGAGGCTGCGCATGGGTCAGCTGTGGCCTCATCTCTCTCCCCTGCGCTGGCTGCTTGTGCTGGGACGGTTGTGGAGTGAGTGTGACGGGTGCGTCCAGCTGCGGCTGTGAGGATGCATAGGGGCTCTGCAGGCAGCGTCCCCGTGGGCCCCGGGAGTCCCGAGGACAGCCCAGCTGCCCATGTGCAGGCCTTGCCGTGGCTCACACCTCCCTGCTCTCCCACGGCAGGCCAGTCCTGGGGAAGGCTGCTCGCGCCCTGTCCTCCGGAGTGCTTCCTGGCCATCGGGCCACGGAGTGCTGTGCTGCGGCACTGTGGAAAAGGCGTCGCTCTGGGAGGCGCTGGCTGCTGGCTCGGGTGCTTGGGTCCGTGGCACTCACAGGGGAGGCCTGGATGGAGTTCTCGGCCCCGTTTAGCCTCGTTTAGCCCTGGCTGTTGCCAGGATAATGGGTGGGGAATCACTCTGACTCTCCACCCGTCATGAATGGACACAAATAAATACAGATTGTAAGAAAGCTCTGGTGTGGGGAAGGACTGTGGAGGCTGAAGAGTTGTGGGAGAGTGTGGGTGTGTCACCCAGTGGTGGGGTGGGGTGCACAGGCGGAGGTGGGTCTAGGATAGGACAGTGCTGCCACTGGACCACTGACCATCTCTGTCGCAGCCCTGGAAACCAAGCCCTGGTTCTGAGGAGTCGCCTCCGTCTGCCCGAGATGGTCCCTGACCCGGCCTTCGTGGTGGTCTTCCAGCTGGAGTACGTGGTCCGCAGCCCCGCGGGAGCCGATGGCAGTGTAAGTTGGGGCGGTGGATTCCCGCTGATGCTGGCACTGTGCTACCCAAGACTGGCCGGGCGTCAGCGTTCCCCTGTGCGGGACACTGCTCGTTAGTGATGCGGGTGGCCGGTCTGCAGTGTGATTCCGGAAAGTGCCTCCACGCTGTCAGTGCTTTCTCTCTATGGTAATGGCGCTTTCCACTGGCTGAGAGCAATAAATAGCTGAACAAATTTCGTAGGCCATAATAGCATTAATTCATAATTATCAGGTCAGTAATTATTTGAAGAACGAGGCTATTTTGAGATGTTTTGGTGTGGTACTAAGTGCAGTAAAGCTCAAATCTGCACGGGCGGTAAATGGCTTCTTACGGCGGACTTTGCACCTCCCTGCATTGTAATTAAGAGTGAGTGTGTGTGCTGAGCTGGGAGAAGTCGACCCCGTTTCCATCTCTAACGGAGCTGCCTTTGGTCAGTCCCGGCTGGCTCTCCGTGAGATGCAGCCTTGTGTGTGAGAAAGGCAGCGGCGTCCTAATAGGTCAGGTGAGCACTGAGGCACGGGGAGCAGCCACGTGAGAAGGCCAGGCCTGAGCCTCGCCGGCCCCTGGGCACTTAGGGCAGGTATCAGAGCACGGCTGCCACGTACCCTGTCCGTGTGTAACTCATTCCCACCATGTGAGAACATTGAGTTCTCACAGGAACCCCAGGTACACTGTAGCTGCCTGTGAACTTCCCTAAATGGGGGTCCCAGGGCCCTGGGATGGCGAGTGGTTCACCCAGAGGGGTGGGAGATGGGGGTCCCAGGGCCCTCTGGATGCTGAGTGGGTCACCCGGAGGGGCAGAGGGTGGGAGTCCCAGGGCCCTGGGGTGGCGAGTGGTTCACCCAGAGGGGTGGGAGATGGGGGTCCCAGGGCCCTCTGGATGCTGAGTGGGTCACCCGGAGGGGTGGAGGGTGGGAGTCCCAGGGCCCTCTGGGGTGGCCAGTGGGTCACCTGGCAGGGTGGAGTTTCTGGATTGGGCAGTGAGCTCGAGAGAGAAATGAGCTGCCCTGGACAAGCGCAGGCCTGAGGAACACAGCATTGGGATGGGGTCTCCCTGTTGCTCTGGACGCTTGGGAAATGTTGGGTTTTCCTCATGCAGTTACGGAGTATGTGTGCTGCCGCCGAGATGCCCTGCCCGGGCCGTGTGCGGAGCTGCTCTGGGCAGAGCTGTGCCCAGGACAGGTGGCTCTGCACCGTGGCTGCCCCGGAGCCTTGGGTCGTGGCTGGGCTGTGCAAGAAGCTGCTCTGGGCAGAGCTGTGCCTGGAACAGGTGGCTCTGCACCTTGGCTGCCCAGTAGCTTTGTGTTGTGGCTGTGCCTGGGGCAGAGGGCTGTGCCTGGGGCAGGTGGCTATGCACCGTGGCTGCCCGGGAGCCTTGGGACGTGGCTGTGTAATGGCCCATCAGTCCTTTCTGATGTGGAGGTGATTGTCGTGGTGATATTGGATTCCATTTCGCTGTCATCAGGTGTTCTTTCTCAGGGTAATGTGGAAAGGAAATGTTCCAGGGTGTGAAATGATTTTCCACACAAATTGCGTGCTGTGTGCAATGCCGAGGATGGCGCATGGCGGTAAATGGGCGAAGCTGCTTCGAGTATTTCCAACAGGAGCAGACTTGAGACTGCAGGAGAAAAACAGAGAGAGAGAGAAGTCCACAGTGCTGGTGTGGGGTCCCAGCCCTTCCATGGGGCCGCAGCCAGTCGGGATCCCCCTGTCGGCCCAGGGCTGGCCGTGCGGGGTGTGCTCACAGCCTGCCTGTGTGCACGGTCGGCCCGGGCTGCTCCTCCGTCGAGGCTGTCTGACCTGGGCGGAGCAGACAGGACGGTGGGTGCACCTGGGGGCTGCACCTGGGGGCTGCGGCTGGTGGGCCGCCCGCCTCGTGCACGCACTCCCACAGCCCGTGCCGAGTTATTTTAAAAGGGATTTCTGTGAAGATTCACTTATTGACAGGCAGAGCTGGAGGTCTGTCATGTGCTGATTCACGGACTAAATGGTCACAGTGGTTGGGGCTGGAGCAGGCCGAATGCAGGAGTGTCGGGGGCCTGGACACCCGACCCCCCGCTGCTTTCCCAGGCGGGTTCATGAGGAGCAGCATTGGGGGCCGAGCAGCTAGTGTTGTCGGCACAGGCTTAGTGTCGAGGGCCTGGACTCCTTAGCACCCCCTCTCCACCCGCTGCTTTCCCAGGCAAGTTCATCCAAATCTTATGCCCGGATGTTGGGCTTCAGAAACACACTGACTCACTTTTATTTCTCTTAAAGACTTGAGAGGAAGATCTTCTGTCAGCTGATTCACTCCCCAAGTGGTTGCACTGATCTGAAGCCAGGAGCTTCTTCTGGGTCTCCCACGTGGGTGCAGGGTCCCAAGGCTTTGGCCATCCTGGACTGCTTTCTCAGGTCACAAGCAGGGAGCTGGATGGGAAGTGGGGTGCTGGGATTAGAACCGACACCTGTGTGGGATTCCGGCATGTTCAAGGCGAGGACTTCAGCTACTAAGCTAACACGCCAAGCCCACTGACTTTTTATAAATGGGTTTTTAAAATTCTGTCTTTCAAAAACAGATTTATTTGTTTATTTGAAAGAATTACAGAAAAAGAGAGGGAGGGAGAGAGGAGAGGGAGATCTTCTAGCCACTAGTTTGCCCCCGAGTGCTGCACTGGCTGAAGCTGCGTTAGTCCGAAGCCCGGAGCCAGGAGCTTCCTCCGGGTCTCCCACGCGGGTACTGGGTCCAAGCATTTGCTGCTTTTCCAGACACGTTAATAAGGAGCTGGGTCGAAAGTGGAGCAGCCAGGACTTGAACTGGTGCCCATATGGGATCCTGGCATCTCAGGTGGTGGCTTGACCTGCCACAGTGTCGGCACAAATGGGCTTTTTAGGAGGTGTTGTGCGTGGAGGTGCCAGCAGCCTCAGCCCCCGGTGCCCCTCCTGACTGCCCCTCTGGTTGACCTCCCCCGCCATCCCAGTCCCTTCTCCTGGCTGCTCTGTGCACCTGTGAACAGACAGGTATGCTCTCACTGTGTCCTTTGGGTCTCTGTGTGTGTTGTTTGCTGTGACAGTTGAGGCTCTGACAGACAGTCCAGTGAACTGTGGGCCTCTTTGCAGTTGTGTGAATTCAGACCAAGCTTGTAAGGTCGAGAATTGCCTGGGCGCTCATCTCGCCTTAACCACTAGCATTTGCTAACAGCAGAGCTTACCAAATAATGGCCCTGACTGCCTGTGTGTTGGCTGTACTTGACCTTCTCAGAGCTGGTGTTTTCTTCTTCACCTGAAATGTGAGAAACGTACTTGTTTTCATTTTATTTGAAAGGCACACACACCCCCCTTCAGTTTGTTCACTCCCCAGTGCCTGCAGTAGCCAGGACGGTGCCAGCTGAAGCCAGGAGGCTGAGGGGGCACCTTGGCAGGAAGCTGAGCTCTGAAGCAGAGCCCAGTGCAAGCCCGCTAGCTTCCAACTAGCCTGTGAGGGTTGCAGGGGGTATCTTAGCCCTGGCGGCAGGTGCACATCCCTGGGTGTGCCAGGCCCCGCTCACCCCACTGGGGACTCTGACCTCAGTGGGGTGTGCTCCCTGACTTCCTGTGTGCCAGAGCCGTTGAGACACTAGCGGATACGTCACACTGGAGAGCTGGGGATCCGTGGAGAATACAAGCCCCCGTGCAGTTGGGGTGTTCGGTGGAGTCACTGGATTTGAAGTGTGGACCCACCCGAGTTGCACCTGCAGCATGAAGGTGCGTGCTCATTTTTGATCCTGAAATGTTCACCGGTACAGGAGTTGACTGCTCACAGGAGGTAGACACTGTTGAGGTATCCTCAGTGACTCATTTCCCTAAATGTCATAGTGGTTTTCTCTGTGGCCTGCTGGTCACTGACATAGCTGGGTTTAGAACCTATGCAGTGGCTGAGTGAAGAGGGAGGGGGCTGGCAGTGGAGGGAGCACGGAGCCGTGGGCTGAGGGTCAGTGGAGCACGGAGCCGTGGGCTGCAGGGGGAGCACGGAGCCGTGGGCTGAGGGTCAGTGGAGCAGAGAGCCGTGGGCTGAGGGTCAGTGGAGCACTGAGCCGTGGGGTGAGGGTCAGTGGAGCACGGAGCCGTGGGCTGAGGGTCATTGGAGCACTGAGCTGTGGGCTGAGAGTCAGTGGAGCACGGAGCCGTGGGCTGCAGGGGGAGCACAGAGCCGCCGGCTGAGGGTCAGTCTGGGAGCACAGAGCTGTGGGCTGAGGGTCAGTGGAGCAGAGAGCCGCGGGCTGAGGGTCAGTGGAGCAGAGAGCCGTGGGCTGAGGGTCATTGGAGCGCAGAGCCGTGGGCTGAGGGTCAGTGGAGCACAGAGCCGTGGGCTGAGGGTCATTGGAGCACTGAGCTGTGGGCTGAGAGTCAGCCTGGGAGCGCAGAGCCGCCGGCTGAGGGTCATTGGAGCACAGAGCCGTGGGCTGAGGGTCAGTGGAGCAGAGAGCCGTGGGCTGAGGGTCATTGGAGCGCAGAGCCGTGGGCTGAGGGTCAGTGGAACACAGAGCCATGGGCCTAGGGTCAGTGGAGCACGGAGTCGTAGGCTGAGGGTCAGTGCGCACAAAGCCATGGGCTGAGGGTCATTGGAGCACAAGGCATGTGCTGAGGGTCAGTGGAGCAGAGAGCCGTGGGCTGAGGGTCAGTGGAGCACAGAGCCATGGGCTGAGGGTCATTGGAGCACAAGGCATGTGCTGAGGGTCAGTGGAGCAGAGAGCCATGGGCTGAGGGTCATTGGAGCGCAGAGCCATGGGCAGCGGGCTTAACTGCTTAGACCCTCAGCTTGCACTGCTGGGAAGTGGGTCCTTATCCCTGAGTTGTCTGGGTGTCTGCTCGCCCCGAGGGCAGGGTGAACACGCAGCATCCTGACCTGTGGCCTGAGAGGCAGCAGTCTGGTTCCCACTGCAGGGACACGCTGAGGCCCGGGGACGTCTGTGCCTCATGCCAGTCTCCTCCGTGGGGGTAAAGGACCGCCTGCCATCTGGCCAGGAGCAGTTTGGAAGTGCTGAGTTGGATGAAGCAAGAACAATTTTTCTTCTCTATTTGGATCTGCTCCTGCATGCTCTTGGCGTAACCCAGGGGATTGCTGAGCCATCCACAGGCACCGCGGTCCCAGCCCAGGCATTTTGTGTGTGTGCATGTGTGTGGGGCCTGCCGCGTGCCCAAGTGTAGTTGTGTGTCTCAGTGGCAGTGCCCCTGCTTGATGCAGCAGGGCCCTTGGCCTCACTTCCTGGGTGACAGCGCTGTTCACCCGCACCGTGGGTCCTCACCAACGGTGGGAGGCCTCTTCCCCTGGGGCTGTGACCACGGTCACTTGGTTAGTGGATAAGAGGTTGATCTGGTGGGTGCCCTTGGTTTCCTCTGCTGTGCCAGAGAGCTGTAAGTCCAGGGTCAGGTAGAGAATGCGGGAAGTGGGTTCTTTACTCATGGAAGCCTCAACCTTCAGCTGTAGAGCTGCCTCTCGTGGGTGTGCAGCTGCTGGCGTCCGCTGCTTAGAGCCTGGAGCCGGTGGTGTATGGTCAGCCCCCACCTTCGGCCGTAGGGCTGCCTCTCGTGGGTGTGGAGCAGGGTTTCAGAGTGCTGTTGATGAGGCTTTCCTGGCTGATTGAGGGGAATGCTGGGGACAGGGGAGTCATAAAAACTGCAGGGGGTCCTGGTGAGATGGGAGGGGCCGGCGGGGGGCCTCGGTTCCTCCTGTCAGGAGTCAAGTGCCCGTCCCTGTTCAGTGTCATGGCCGTGCATGGGCGCCCCGCCCAGCTGCACTTGGGTTAACGTTGTGCTTTGCTTGTGTTGCAGGCCGCTCCAGCCGCCACGCTGTCCAACCTGGCCTGCATGTACATGATCCGCTGGGCCGTGTGGAGACCCCCAGAGGCCGGGGCCGGGCGGGTGACCCTGCCTCTCCATGGCGGGGTCCGGCCCAACCCCTCCCACTGCCTGGTCTACAAGGTGCCCTCGGCCAGCATGAGCTCGGATGCGGTGAGTGCTGGGTGTCGAGTGTGGCCCAGCGCGAGCCTTGGTGGGTGGAGGGAGCCTGGCCATCTCTGTTCTCGGGTCTCTCTGCTGGATGCAAAGGGGGCGGACAGGTTGCCTCAGGGCTGAACAAGAAGGCAGGTGGGAACAGAGCAGTATGTGTATGTGTGAGTGTGTGGGGGGGATGTATGTGACCATGCATACACATGTGTGCATGAGTGTGTGTGCACGCATGACTTCATGCACGTGTGCGAGTGGGCATGTGTGTGAGTGTGTGCACGCATGACTTTATGCACGTGTGCGAGTGGGCATGTGTGCATGAGTGTGTGTGAGTGTGTGCACGGATGACTTCATGCACGTGTGTGGGCATGTGTGCATGAGTGTGTGTGAGTGTGCACATATGACTTCATGCACGTGTGTGAGTGGGCATGTGTGAGTGGGCATGTGTGTGAGTGTGGTGAGCACATGAGAGTTTCTGTGTGTGTGTGAGCATGTGTGTGAGTGAATGGAGTCTGAGTGCTTAGAGTGTGTGTGTGTGCTCTCAGGGCACTGCACATGGGTGTGAGCCGGCTGGCCTGCCCTTCCAAGGTGCGCTGTGCTCTTGGCCACACGACTCATGGTGTGAAACCTGTCTACCCCAGAGTGAGCCCTGTGGGCGCCTGGAGCTGGCCCTGCCGTGGTGGCACCCCACAGTGAGCCCCTCGTCCTCCTGGAGCTGGCCCTGCCGTGGTGGCACTCCACAGTGAGCCCCGTGTCCTCCTGGAGCTGGCCCTGCCGTGGTGGCACTCCACAGTGAGCCCCGTGTCCTCCTGGAGCTGGCCCTGCCGTGGTGGCACTGTCACTGCTGTGCTGACTCCAGTGCCAGCCAGGTTCTCGGGGTTGTTACTTAACGAGTTGGGGAAGGCTCTGGGGACCTAGGAGGGCAACAGCTGATTTTGCAGTTTTTCTTCATGAAAGGAACATCTCTCATTACCGGCCCTTGCTTGGCTGCCTTCCCACGCGCTCTGCTTTGAGCCCTTGTTAGCACCTTGCTGTCGAACCCCTGAAGCCGTCACCCCTCTTCCTCTGCTGTGTGTGCATGGAGAGATAAATCTCGACTGACATTTCAGCTGGTCACACCCCAGATGTCTGCAGACATTGTGAGCTGTCTCTCAAAGAAGCAATAGACATAATGAACTAAAGGTGGCCATGAACTTGGCCTGCTCTGCTGTGTGGTGAAATACCCCCTCTCTGCATGAATGTGTGTGTACGTGTGTGCGTGCATGGGGTCCCCTGCTTGAGTGTGTGTGTGTACGTGTGCATACATGGGGTCCCCCGCTTGAGTATGTGTGTGTACGTGTGTGCGTGCATGGGGTCCCCTGCTTGAGTATGTGTGTGCACGTGTGCATACATGGGGTCCCCTGCTTGAGTATGTGTGTGTGTGTGTGTGTGCACGGTGTCCCCTGCTTGAGTGTGTGTGTGTGTGTGCGTGCATGGGGTCCCCTGCTTGAGTGTGTGTGTACGTGTGCATACATGGGGTCCCCTGCTTGAGTGTGTGTGTGTGCACGTGTGTGCACGTGTGTGTGTGTGCATGGGTGTCCCCTGCTTGAGTATGTGTGTGTGCACGTGTGTGTGTGCATGGGGTCCCCAGCACGCTGGCTCTGGCACCGTCCAGCTCAAGCAGAGCTAACCCTCACTGCCCCGACCAGCTCACTCTGCATCCCCTTCCTTCATTTAGTGTCTCCATTACACTAAGGAAAATACCCCTGGTCCTGCAGCTCACTGGCGGGGCAGCAGGTGCAAGTCAGAGAATCCAAGGCCAGGAAGATGTGAGTGTCCATGCTGTGGTGATTATGTCCCTGGGGCTTAATGTGAAATGGACAAACATTTTATGATTGTGTTTGCTTTCTTAAACAGTCCTTTTTTCCTTGAGCAAATCATTGTTTTTTTTTTTTAATTAAATTTCTACGTCCAGAGGTAACTTAGCAATGACATCCGGGTTCACCTTGGTTCTGTGTGTTCCCACCGATCTTGGCTGGTTGAAGAACTGTGAACACAGTGTGTTCACTCTGCCTCCACCTGCGGTGCGTGGCACAGTGGTGCTGGTTGGGGGACGGAAGGGACCCCTGAGAAGCAGGCAGCTGGGGACTCTACCCCCCGAAGTTGTCTGCAGATCCTGGGCTCAGCCCCACACTGCGCGTGTGTAGGTCTGCCCTGACGGCAAGACCTGGCATGTGGACAGTCCCAAGGTGCCCACTGAGCGGGGCACACACAGGAGACTTGAGGAGCATGGCACAGGCTTTGAGAACGGGGCCGAGCCGAGGCTGGCTGTCCTGAACCAAAACCTCAGTGTCCTTATAGGCTCCAGGATGATTTCAGGAACCTCCGTGTGCTCGCCCCGCAATGGAGTCTGAAACCAGCACGGAGCGCTCGGCGCGTCAGCTTTACAGGATGCCGGCAGAGCTGGCACGACCCCCGGCCACCACAGACAGCAGCCCCTTCTGCTTTAGAAAAAAGGAGGTGTTTAAAGGCATAGTTAGAGAGAGGGAGAGTCAAAGGCAGACGGAGAGAATTTTCCACTTGTCGGTTCAATGGAAATTCAAACCATTTTAATGAAAAATTGCGTGTGTGTGATAGGGAGTGAGAGAGCGAGCTTCCGTTGTCTAGTCCACTCTTCAGCTGGCTGCAGCAGACTGGGCTGGAGCCAGGAGCCAGGAGCTCTGTTCTGGTCCCTCGTGTGGGTGGTGGGGCCAAGCACCGTGACAGACGCTTCCTGAGAGAGGACGTGGAGGAGTTTCTTGAGACAGGTGGAGATCTGGAACATCAGGAATGCAAGATGGCGGGCCTGGTCAACACAGAAGCACGTTCCCTTTGGGGCTCGTGGTGTTGGATGGCTGAGGCAAGACGTGTAACCGGATCCGAGCGCATGTTCAGCACGTTTCTACGCAGCAGGCAAGCCAGCTGCAAGGGAGAGAGGCGATGGAGGTGAGGGGCAGCGCTCGCATGTCCCTGGAACATGAAGACCCGTTGTGCTGGGAGCGCTGACAGCGGCCACCACCAGGGCAGAGCAAGAGTCAGACTCCCGCTGCACTGTTCAAGAGAAGGTTTGAGAAACAGTACGGAAAGCCAGAGGAGCAAAGCCTAGTGAGATGGCCGCCCTGAACCCAGGGGTCCCAATCGTGTTGGGTGAGACCAGTAAGTCCAGTAACTGAAAGGACATTGCTTGTTGTGCGGAGGTGGCAAGGGGCACACTTTGGGAAGTGCAAGGCCGGCAGAAGGAAGCCCGGGGCGTCTGTGTTCCGGGCAGACAAGCAGACTCGGCAGAGACAGTTCCTGGGAATTGAGGGAGACATCACGTGTGTTGTAGGGTTGGCCGCCAGGAAGACTGCAGTCCTCGAGGCGTCTGCCTCTGACCCACGCACAGCCTCACAGTGCAGGGAGCAGGAGCTGACGGAGCAAAAAGGAGAAATGGGTCCACAGTTACAGCTGGAGACATCACCGCTGTGCCCCGAGAAACGACAGAGCCAGCAGGTGGCAGACCTCCAGGCCGTCAGCGTGGACAGGGTCATCGTGCGGACCTTCGGGGCCGTCCGAGTGTGGGCAGGCCATCAGCCGACGGGATGTGTCTATGGAGCACCTGCAGTGGGGCCATCCGAGCGTGGGCAGGCCATCAGCCGACGGGATGTGAGTGTCTGTGGAGCATCTGCAGCAGCAGTGAGTCTCACCTGCACGTGGGGCGTTCACCATGGCAGGCAGCATCCTGGATCAGAGGGCAAAATGCAGGAACTTTCCTATTCTCTGATCATAGTGGAATTACATTAAAAAGCAATAACAAATATGACATAGTATTTCCAACACTTAGAAATTGGAAAATGTACAAACAATCTATAAATCGATGAGGGGCCTCAGAAGAAAATGAAATGAACAAGGTGACGATGCGATATGGAGTGGACTTAGCTAGAACTCTCCAGCATCTGGGGCAGGCGTTAGACCTGGTGGTTTGGCTGTCTACTGGGACAGCCACGTCCCCTCTCAGGGGCCTTGGGTTCAAGTCCCAATTCTGCCTGTTTCCAGCTGTCCACTAATGTAGACCCCGGGGGTTAACGGGGTGACTCCTGGCTCCTGGCTGTGACGTGGCCCAGCCCAGGCTGTGTGGAGGGCAGATGGGAGTCCTTTATGTCTGCGTCCATCTGCCTCTGTCTCCAATGGAGAAGTAAGTCAGTAAACTCATAGCACTAAATATTATATAGCAATAAAATAGCATTGAATGTAAAGGTCTTAAATCAGTTAATCTTTTGCATCACAAACAGATGAGTAGATAAAAGAGAAAGGCCCAGCGCGGTAGCCTGGTGGCTAAAGTCCTCACGTTGCATATGCAGGATCCCATATGGGCGCCGGTTCTAGTCCTGGCAGCCCCGCTTCCCATCCAGCTCCCTGCCTGTGGCCCGGGAAAGCAGTGGAGGACGGCCCAAAGCCTTGGGACCCTGCACCCGTGTGGGAGACCTGGAGGAAATTCCTGGCTCCTGGCTTCAGATTGGTGCAGCACCGGCCATTGCAGTCACTTGGGGAGTGAATCATCGGACGGAAGATCTTCCCTCTGTCTCTCCTCTCTGTGTATCTGACTTTGTAATAAAATAAATAAATCTTTAAAACAATAAAAAGAAGAGCCAATGAAGCGGAAACCTTTTTATTTTTCTTCAGTAAAATTGACAAATCGAGCGAGAGCGAACAAGAAAAAGGCCACAAATGACAGAAGGGCTGTCACCACGAGCGCACAGTGTTGACCGGCTAACGTGCGAACGCTGAGCCGCTCTGGGCCTGCGCACTTCGCCGGGACAGATGAGTTAATACTGAACTCCTAACTGCCAGCAGTCGCCCAAGATGAAATAAGCAACCCGAGAAGGCCTGTGACAGGGAAATTGAGTTCATAGCTTTAAAAAACAATTTTTTTTTAAGGTTTACTCATTTTATGTTTGGAAGGCACAGTGACAGAGAAAGAGATCTTCCATCTGCTGGTTCACTCTCCAGGTGTCTGCAATGGCCAGGAGCCTGGAATGCACCGGGGTGTCCCCACGTGGCTGGCAGGGACCCAAGCACCGTGGTTGTCTGCTGCCGCTTTCCCGGCAAGTGGCTTGGAAGCAGAACAGCCGGGACTCGACTTGGCCCTGATGCTGGGTCCACACACGGCAGCTTGACTTGCTGTGTCGCAACATTCCAGATTCGTAGTTGAAAACTTTTGAAAACAAAGAATCCAGGCCTATTCAGTTTAAAATAACCTCATTTAACAGAAACCTTTTCCAGAAAATAGAAGGTATGGGAATAATTTCCAATTCGTGCAATAAGGCCAACATTCCTGATACCAAAACCAGAAAAAATCTGTGGGCTTTTATTCCTCATGAACATAGATGACAAATACTCCATAAATGTCACCCAATCAAATCCGGCAGTGTGCAAGGACAATAATACATTATAAGCACATGGGGTTTATTCCAGGAATACAAGGCTATTTTCTGTTTGAAAACCAATTAATATCATTCACTCCGGGAAGTTCCACCACACGACCGCAGTGCTCGGAACAGAAACGGCATGTGATAAAAGCCAGCATCTGTTTGTGACGAAAACACCGAGCAAGCCAGCGATGCGAGGAAGCTTCGTTGGCCTTCTCAGGAGCGCCTGCGGACCCCTGCAGCACGGGGCTTCCCGAAGACCGGAAGCAGGCGGAGAATGCCTGGACTCCACATCCTTGCCCTGCTCAGCACGGTGCAGCAGGTCTGGAAGCGAAGGCACACGCTTGGCCTTGCGGGCGGCGTGACTTCCGTGTGGACGGTCCTGAGGAGCCACAGAGAAATTCCTCAGTCGGGAGCAAGTGCTTTCCGTGAGCTTGCCGGGTAGTGCGCGGTGGACGGGAAAACCAGTTACATTTCAGAATACCGCCACAAACACTCGGGATGTGAAACACAAAAATACGCACTTTACAAAAGTCCCCCTCAACAAAAGAAGTCTGACAGAATCTGCACAGGCCCGGATGCTGCCCGGCGCCCCTGCGGCCTGCTTGCTGCTGTTCCGTCACGGCCACTCCTGCCCTGGAAAGGCATCCTGCCCCTGCGTGCTGGACAGCTCGCACAGTGCAGGCCTCACTGCCCCGGAACAGCTGCACGTGCAACAGACGCACGTGGATTCAGTACGAATCCCAGCGGGATACAGACAAGCTGATTCTTAAGTTTATGTGGATAAGGAATGAAGAGTTGAATGTTTGGGGGAGCGGGGGGAGAACAGCCAAGTCGGAGGAATTGTCCTGCACAGTTTCAACTCGGCGTCACATGGCACTGAGCAGTGTCGCGTGCTTTGGTGACAGAAGTGGCGTGTGGACTAATGGGACGGACTGGGAGTAGAAACGAGTCGGAGTTTGGGAAATTGTAATCAGTCGTGCGCACATGCTGTGCTCCCGCCATCCTGCGGTTGGAGAAATGAAAACGTCTACACAGAAACAGTAAGCCAGTGTTTAGAGCTCCCAGCTGGACCCAGCCTCGACGTTGCTATGCACGTGAATGGATGGCTCACGGACGGCAGCACATCCAGCCGCGGAAGGCCGTCCGGCAGCGAATGCACCAGCAGGAGATGCAGCTCGGAGGCTCCAGGGAAGAAGCCACCCAGCTGGGGGGCTGTGTGACAGGGTGCCCCAGTGCTGCAGACGACCCCTGGGCTTGGTGGGTTAGGTGGGTCCAGAGTGGCAAGGGGCGTGGAGCTGGTGTGTGTGTTAAAAACCTACAGGACCAGAGCGCCACCCCAAGAGTCCGTGTGACACAGGTGGGTGGAAAGCTCGCCGTCTCCACGGGAGACCCCGTCATGGCTTCCACCTGGGTAAGGGGTTGTTCTGGGATTTTGGTGTCATAGCCGACTGTCTTCGTGCAGGAAGCTCACTCCGTCACCGTGTGAGCGCACGCTTTGTCTGGGGCCAGGGCGCCTTGTCTCTGGTGGACAGCTGGCCGGAAGTGTGCTGATGGGGGGCGTGGCCATCACTGTGCTGTTTGTGGTCCCTCGCAGGTGAAACAGCTGGAGTCGGGAACGATCCAGTTCCAGTTCTGCCCCGGCTCGGAGGAGCTCCTGGACACGCCCACGCCGTGTGCCAGCGGCCCCAGGGCGGAGCGGCGGTCCTGCCGGAGGCCACCCGCGGCCCCTTCGAGTGAGTATTTGCTCACAGCATGGCTCCCGTCTTAGCCCAGTGTGACAGTCATCGTCACATTTATGAGGATTGCTTTTATTTGGATCGATCAGCTGGGATTTCGCCTAACGGGGGTGGGATCGGACAGTGCCGGGGTGAGAGATGACACCAGACAAGTCTAGGATGTATTAAGGGGTCTTTGTTAACCAAGCTTGGTGATAACAGGGCCCACTAGGAATGAGCAAATGATAAGAACATGGCAATCCAGTGTGAATCAAAACCCCAAGAGGAACAATTGGTCATTACCCTGAAGACCTGTCCAGCTTCCCAAGGAACCTAAGTTATCCTAAGAGACATACAGAAAACAACCTGGACACACAAAGCTGCAGACACTCACCTCTCCCTGGCTTCTGTGCCCACGTTCCCTCACTGCCAGGCCTCCCCTCTCCTGGAACTCCCGACAGCACACACATCAGAAATACAGACATCTTAGCATTGCTGTCTGCACTGTCCCGCCCGGACTGTGCCCAGAGGGGCCATGCTCAGGGGATACCTGACCTTGGGCTCTGTCCGTGGGAAGCCAGAGAGCAAGCTGGGGAGGCCAAGAGTCAGAGTGCCAGAATGGGGGAAGCATGCAGCCAAGAGAGCGAGCTGCTCGCTGTCCGGGGGCCTTTATGGGGGCTTGCCTAGGGAGTGGTCACACCACAGTGCAAACCCGCCCCCTCAGGCTCCAGGTGGTGATGAGTGAATGTCACCCATACATAGGCAGATGGGGGTTGGGGGTGACCGTAAACTAGCTGCCTAGGACCGCAGCAGCCCAGCGGTCTGTCCCTTGTGCTGCAGCCTAGGATCGGTGCAGTGAGTTGACAGGCCCCTGGCTGTGCACCTGTGGGTGGTTCTCCATCACGTGAGTGTCCTGTAAGCCTGAGCCCCTGAGAGTTGAGAGGTCGGCCGAGAGCACCCACCACATGTGCTTAACCTGTTGGTGTGTGTCATGGGCTGCGTCAGCACTGGCTGCTGGCAGAAGCCACAGATCCATGGCCGTGTGTGCTGCAGAGCTGTAGTGCTAGGCCTCAGTTCAGACCTGTGTCCTGCTGGAGGGTCCCATCGGCGGGCAAGTGAGGGGTGGGACTGACGGGAGTGTTGGAGAAGCCCACCCTGAATGTCGGGCCGTGTCTCCTGGAGGGCCTGCTCCCCGGAACCCCTTGAGTGTGGTGATGGCCTGCTTTCTGCTGGCTCCGGGGGGACTGCCCCACCCTCCCGCAGAGGGGCCCGTGGGGAACTCGCTGTCTGAGTGGGAAGGTGCTGGGAGCCTGTCCCTCTGAGCAGAGCTGCCTGGCCTTGTGCTGGATGGCACAGTTGGCGGGAGCTGCACAGTGGTGAGATGCCACCCTCCATTTTCCTGGTCTTGGGAATTTTCTGAAATACCTAAATTGACAAATCAGAAGTTAATTCACGTTCAACACCATCACCCAAAACACCCCACAGCCAATGTAGCACTCAACATCTCAGATTCCAGAGCATTCAGGATTTCAGATTTTCACATTATGGAAACTCAGCTGGTGAAGTTGGAGCAGTATTTCCAAAATCCCCAAAATTCTGACACAGAAGCCCTTCTGGTCTCAGGGTTTTCAGATAAGGGATGTTGAGCTGTGGTCAGCTGCTGTGGGGCAAGCACCTTGCTGAGTGCTGCAGTGTTTCCGGTCCCACGGAGGCCACGCCTCAGTGCTGCAGTGTTTCCACCCCCCCCAGGCCACGCCTCAGTGCTGCAGTGTTTCCATCCCCCCCCAGGCCACGCCTCAGTGCTGCAGTGTTTCCATCCCCCCCCAGGCCATGTCTCAGTGCTGCAGTGTTTCCATCCCCCCCCAGGCCACGCCTCAGTGCTGCAGTGTTTCCGTCCCCCCAGGCCATGCCTCAGTGCTGCAGTGTTTCCGTCCCCCCAGGCCACGCCTCAGTGCTGCAGTGTTTCCGTCCCCCAGGCCACGCCTCAGTGCTGCAGTGTTTCCGTCCCCCCAGGCCACGCCTCAGTGCTGCAGTGTTTCCGTCCCCCCAGGCCATGCCTCAGTGCTGCAGTGTTTCCGTTCCCCCAGGCCACGCCTCAGTGCTGCAGTGTTTCTGGTCCCCCAGGCCACACTTTTTGCGGTTTATTTTAGACTGCCCACCTTGTTCGCAGATCTTTGCTCTCACTGTGTGCATCAGTAATGTCGTCTTAGGTCAGTGGCCTCGCCATGGGCGGTGTGCCCTGTCCCCGACACGCACTCAGCGTGCCCAGCAGAGTCCCTTGCAGCGGTGGCTGTTTGGTGTGTGTTTGCAATCAAAGTTGCTTTACGGTAATTCCCAGTTTTATTTGCTGAAGTGGGCTGTGCTGGGGGCACAGGACACACGGTTTATAACTCCTAAACCCAGGGGCAAACCCACTTCAGTCTGTTCCCCTGCCTTGAACCTGTGAGTTCTCTGTGTGACACATTCTCAGTTATATCTTACAAATCAATACCAGCTGCTAGGAAACACGAATAGGAGAGAAAGATGAAAACAGGCACGTTTTTATAGTTACACGGGAGCGTGGTGTTGTACAGCTTTGGTTGTGTCACTACGAGGTAAAGCGACGTGCTTTGCGGGAAGAGCTGACTTCCTGAGAGCTGTGCTGGCCTGCAGGGGCATGTGATGGCCGTCTCTGAAAAGGCGTCTCCCGGCGTGGTGTCAGCCCGGCCCCGCCACAGGCAGCTGGGCATCCTGAAGACCTGGTCAGGTGGGCCGTGAGGGGCGGGTCCCCCTGTCGCTGGGTGTGGGCGTGCTTGCTGGCCCAACCAGGGCCGTCCTCTGCTGCCCTCCCAGGCCACAAGCAGGGAGCTGGGTGGGAAGCGGGGCAGCCGGGACAGACACTGGTGTCCACATGGGCGTTGGTGCTGTAGGCAGAGGATTAGCCGGCCCTGACACCTGCCGGCTAGCTCTCTGAAAGTCTGCGTTAGTTCCGATGCGTGACCCTTGGCCGAGGCTGAGTTGTGTTGTCTCCCTCTATGTGTGTCTGACCGGTGGGAGTTGGTTCCCAGACCCAGGGATGGAGCGTGAGGAGTTGTAAGAGGAGGCCGGATCGGCCCGGAGGGAACAGGAGTGTGACAGGCACTCTGGTCCCTGCTGCCGCTGCGAGAGACACCAAGTAAGGTGAGAAGCCAGGGCGCTTTCTCCGAGGGCGGGGGCCTCGCCGGTTGACAGGATGCTGCTGGCCGAGGCTGGGGCCCCAAGCAAGGATGGAGACGTGACCCCTGGGGAAGCCCCACAGCCGGGGCTGGCATTCCAGACTCTGGCGAGGGAGCCAGGGCCGCTCAAACCCACAGCAGCTCCCGCACCCCAGGCTGTGCACAGGTGACCAAGGTGATATGTTTGGCTTTGGGGCCCCGGTACCAGCTGAGTGAGTGAAATTGATCTGGTCTCTGCCAGCTCTGTGGGGGGCCAGGATGAGCAAGAGGTGAAAAGAATCATGGTAGTGTTTAAGTAACAGAACAACGGGGCATTTACTGATGGAACGGCTTAGAGCAGTTACTTCCTGCCTCCACTGCCAACTTCCCATCTGTAAAATGGGCTGGATTGAATAGCTAAATATGTAACGTTTGGAATTCATTTGGGGATGTTTTGATGAGCTTGAGGCTAGGAGAGCTTTCACAGACAAGAGCAGTGAGGTGTGAATGCCAAAAGGAAGGACAGGACACAGGACAAGGTACGAAACAGGAAGGAAGACCACGAACTAGAAGACAGACCTCAGGTGGAAAGAATGCGATTAGAGGAAGGCCCCGAGTTACTGCAGGTAGCCGGCAGCGCTGAGCAGCACAGAAACTGGAGAAGGACCTGGGGAGTACGGCTGTGTCTTAGCTTAGGGTGCTGGGTGTGGAGCGAGGGTGCAGGGCTTCTGGCTGCAGTCACACGAGGACCCCCGCTGTCGTCAGCCTTCTTGTCACCAGTGTTGGTGGGAACAGACTGCATGTCCGCACCCCTTTGGCCAAGGGGCAGCAGCTGGACAGCATATCTCCCTGGGACTGCTGTGGCCTCCAGGGTCTCTGATGGCGAAAGCACAGCTGCCCCATCTGTCTCTGTCCAGGTGCCCAGCCCAGAAGGCTCCGTCCTGGTGGCATTGCTGCCCTTTGCTGCCGGCCGGTCTAGAGCTGGAGGCTGTGCTGTTTCAGAGTGAGCTGTTCAGGGCAATGTCCCCGCCCTCACCCGCTCTGCAGGGCCTCCTGAGAGCCAGGGCAGTCGGGTCCTGGGGCAGCTTGCTTGGGGGCCTGTCCCCTCCCTCAGCCGCTCTGAGAGCCGGGGGCCTGTCCCCTCCCTCAGCCGCTCTGAGAGCCGGGGGCCTGTCCCCTCCCTCAGCCGCTCTGAGAGCCGGGGGCCTGTCCCCTCCCTCAGCCGCTCTGAGAGCCGGGGGCCGGATCCCGGGGCAGCTTGCTTGGGGGCCTGTCCCCGCCCTCAGCCGCTCTGAGAGCCGGGGGGCCTGTCCCCTCCCTCAGCCGCTCTGAGAGCCGGGGCCGGATCCCGGGGCAGCTTGCTGTCCTCGTGGCCCTGACAGTCTGCAGGGCGACATTAAGCTGCCAGGTGCACTGGGTGGCCTGGGCTTGTGCTCCTCTCAGGAGGCTGTTGTGAGCCCAGGGAGGACGTGTGGGCTCGCTGGTCCTGCGCTACAGGCTCTCCATGAACCAAGAGCAAGGTACCATGGAGAGTGACCTGTGGCCAGCTGCTGGGTGGCCTGGCTTGGCCTGGCTGGCAGAGGGCAGTGCTGTTCTGTGCGGCCGAGCCGCCCCGTACCAGGCCCTGAGGGTTCCTGCAGAGCCCCTGCCCTCCCCAGGCCCTGCCCTCCCCAGGCCTTTGGGCAGCTCTGCTGCCATCCTGCCCTCCCCAGGCCCTGCCCTCCCCAGGCCCTGCCCCGCACCAGGCCTTTGGGCGGCTCTGCTGCCATCCTGCCGAGCCCCTGCCCTTCCCAGGCCTTTGGGCGGCTCTGCTGCCATCCTGCCGAGCCCCTGCCCTTCCCAGGC